CCCCCCCCCGTATCTCTCGTGCTCTCCGCGGTGTTTTGTATTTCTCGTGATGACGCGCCGCGCCTCCTGTGACGTCACGTGCCGCGTTACAGCTGTTTTACGTTTTGCAAGTAACTTCGCCTTATAGGTCAAGGCCGCGTCTTGCACGGACAGACGCCTCCGTAGGAGATTTAGCGCAACGGCACGGATATATATGTACATAGATATACATATGTTTACAATCACGCCGCTGTGCGTAATTCATACGCAGATATCGCGGCATCAACGGGCGCGTTTACCCTATTGCTCCAGTGACAAAATCTTATACCGATAAGAAATCGGATTTTTCATGCGTGCGCATGCGCCGGCGAGCCGGTTCTGCGCACGGCGCACGCATGCACGCCTGCCCGCACTCTCGTAGAACTTTCAAACGCGCTCGCTCACTCGCGTCTCGATTTTTAGCGCGGACACGCTCCTGACCGACCGACACATTCCCTTCGATTTGTAAGTACGCATTAAAGAACGCATTTATGCGTTTCGTTCGTCGTAAACTCCGAATAACGTGGAACCTGTTGATACAATGAGTGAAAGTGAGAGAGAGAGGGGTTTACTGCGCTTTAGTGCGAAACTTCCGCTGACATGACCACGCGGTTTTTACCTCCTTCCCGCGATAAGTTCGTTCGTTCGTTTGTTCAATTGTTCGCGGATCTCGAATGAATCGACAATTGTTTTCGGAAGACTACGACTTAAGTGAGTGAGTGATTACGTGTCACACACTTGCGTGTTTCCGCACTTGACGCAACTGTTTGTTTACTTGAAGGATTATCCTCTCGCTGTATCTTCGTGGCTTAACCGTGGGCAGCACCCTTGTCATAATCCCGACGTCTTATTACGTACTGATGAGTCCGGATTTACGAGAGAATTTGGAAGTCGAAGTGTAAGTAACTGAGATAATGAATTGCGCGGATCGAACCACTTCGTACGCGAAACGGCTCTCGAATTCACGCATTGGGTCTGTTCGTTTTAATCGCGTTCCACCATTAACATTTTCTGCATTTACAAATTATACATTTGAACGTTGGAGAAAGAAAAGCTAAAAGAATGATCAAATGAAGCGAGATGTTCGGCTGAAATCAGAGATAGACCTATCGGACCTCCATGATGACTCAGGCCTTGTTTAGGCCGAAGTTAAGAACGCAGAAGTTCGAGATATTAATCATTGTAAATATTTTGAACGCGGCCTAACTTCGAATACGTAGGCACCACATGTACGAGTATACGAGCACGGTAAAGCTTTTCGGAGGCGCCTGGATGATTTGTCAGGCCCACTTCCCTCAATTTACGAAAATAGGCGAAGAAAAGTATATCGGGGACATTCGTCGCAATTGATTTTTCATCTAACGTTCCGAAATTACGAAGCAACTCGATAATCCTACGAGAGCTGAGATTGTTAAATAACTTGAATTTCGTCACAATAAATTTACACGATTGTTTCGATCATTAACTGTTAATTAGTTTCACTCGTTATATTTTCTCATTTGTTATTATAGCTTTGCAATTTCGAAGAAAAATGTTTTTCCCTATTCTTCCGCAGATTTCGTCGGTTTCTGGCCTAAGAATACAAAAATTTGAGAAAAATTCACATATGTTCGTTTAAAACTTGCCACATTAATTTTTTCTGTAAAGAAGAAACCATAAAACCGCGGAGAAATTGGGAAAGAACGAGATTTTAAAACTATATTTGTTATTCTTATTGTTTATTCATTTATTTATTTCTCGTTGCAATTGTAATTAGAAATCTTCACAAAATCGCAATTTAGCCATTATAAAACTAGCTCTACGCGATATGGCAAATGTAATTAAGCCAGTTCAAATTACAATTGCAAAGGGAAACAAATAAATAGTAAGATTAACAAATGTAGTATTAAAATTTCGGAAAAAAAATGTTTCCTTATTTTTCCGCGAATTTCTATGGTTTCTTACTTTTTTTGACTGGGGAAAGAAGTAAACGTGGCAGGTTTTAATCGAATACACGTGAATCTTTCTAAACGAATTTTTGTACGCTTGAGACAGGAACCGAAGAAATTCACGGAAAAATTGTCCATGTTGTGTGGAGTGAAGACGGTTTAACATCACACTGACCTTCGAGTCTAAACCTTAGGTCTATTCTTTTTCGTTGAATTGGCTGCGCATTAGCTTGCATTTGTTTTCTATTCGTCTTTCCATCACGTCTTAACTGTATACACGTCTTTCTTTAACTTCTGCAAGTATACTCTAGTTCAGCAAAAAAGAACAGACCTCTTACGACCGTGATTTTGCGAAAAGGATATCGGAAAGAATCCGAAAAGAAAACAATGGGTCGCCACTGTGCGGAAAGAAAAAAAGGAAATATGAATAGAATGATCGCACAAAGAAAGGAAGAAAGAAAAGATTTCCAAGCAAGTCAAGTTTACAAATGCGTTTTCAGGCTGTGCTCGAGGTTCGAACAGCTCAAGGAGATAGTCAAAAAGATGTTGCATCAGATGGGGCAGTTGCGGAACAAACAGCCGGGTTTGGTAAATTCACTCTATCGATTAAATCGCGCCACGATGATTGTTCGATCATCGTTAATCACACAGTCCGAGAATTGCAATCCGAATTATAATTTCAGTTTTGCATCATCGTCTGTTCCGCGTCTATGCTAATATGGCTTTCGGATTACGTGTTGAACGGCATGCTGCTCAAATACGTATTCTTTATGCTCATTCTACTGGCACCGATAGTGGTGATATATCTACCGGTCAGGAGGCTTCCTGCGCGTCCTCCGCCGAGCAATCGTAGAGGTAATCGAAAGTGATTGAATCTCGCCGAGGAAGAAGACCTTGTTTAATCCTCTTAATAATCTGAATTTCTATTAATTAAACTGATACTGCATTAGAAAAAATCGTTTAGAAAATCACATTGTCGAGTCCTTTATCTCCTTTTGATGAATGTTGTGAAATAAACGTTGAGTTATTTTGTAGTATCGCCTCTTGAGAATACGCACGTTAAAACGTAAGCTGAGGAGACTTGCTGACGTCTTCCCCTTTTTTTCGCAGAATCGGACAGTGAAATCGAGGAATTTTTACCAGCTGCGACCGAGACAAACATTCAGATACTGACGAAAGCGGGTGAAGTTGGAGAATACTCGCCAACGCCGACGAGCGCGGTGACGGAAGCACCGAAGGAACAGGAGGAGCAAGGTAAAGCCCTGAAATCTGAACTCAAATTTAAGCTTTCATCTAGTAGATTCGACCGACAGTTTATTACGTTTCGAGTGCGCTCGCTGGGGGAACGCGCGCGTGCGATAATTTATGCAAGACCGGCTCCGTTTCTCTATGTATATCGCTCTCTCTCTCTCTCTCTCTCTCTTTGGCGCCTACACCGGAGCTGAACCGGCTCACTGCGTCAATTGATATCCATACAATATCATTAAGTTCATGTTTTGATGTCATCCGTTGAAAAACAAAACGCGACATTTGACACGAACTCTATTTTTTCTTTTCTCGTACATATGTTCAACGTTAGGGGATCAAATTTGTCGAGATTTTCGCGATTTCGATGCTCGCCTGGCACTCGTCCAGTTTCGCATGAAATTCGCAGTCACTTGCTTTCCTCTGCTTTCTTGACTACTCATCCTGCCCGTTTCTTCGCAGAATTTCTCAACGACGGCGACCTCGCAGGCCACAAAATGCCCTCGCACGAGGACGGCAGTTCGGATGGTCTAGAGCTTTCAGATCTGGAACTCTCGGAGAAGAGCTCCACGTCATCCCGCTCCAGTCAGAGCGACAGCGAATTCGAGATAATCGACCGGCAGGAGATCGGCAAGTTGTGCACGCCGCAAAATTCGACATAATGAAAGACGACCGCCGTGAGACTTGAACAACCAACAAATAAAACATAGTAATATCTTGATTTGATTGATCGTCTATCTCAGCTTTACAATCTCCGCTTGAAAAGAAACTATTTTAAACGATGAGTCAAGATGATTTTCGCTTAAAAAGAAATAAAATTTTTCGAGTACAACACGACGGTGTACACGCGGTTTAGAAAGTGTCTCGACTGCTACGACAGTGTGGACGCGAACGAAACCAAATTTTATTCATTTAGACGGATAGGTGTACCTGATGTACGTGTACTGTATGACACCTGACACTCGTACTGTATTACAATCATATTTATTATTTTAACATTAATAGGAATATGTACATTTGCGATGTAATAAATATGCACACGTGTACAAACGTTTTATCCGGAGTTCAGTCATCGTGCAGCCATGCGCTTAATCCGACCTACGACGGCGATTAATTTAGCGAAAGCGCTATGGCATACGAGGATGAAAATGATATAGAGCAAACACACAGTCGGCCGACGAAGTCAAGTTCAAAAGTCGACAGGGTAAAATGTAGTGACGCAATGACGCTACATTTATTGTATTATACTATACAACTTACTACGAAAGCGCGAAAGCACGATCAACAGGACTGCACTCGGTAGCGTGCAGAAACGTTTACGCTAAGTGCGTAAGAATGTATTATATTGTCACATGTATTTTGAGAAATCTATAGGAGAAAAATGGATAGAGGTGCAAGGGATGAGAGAGAGACAAGATAGATTAGAAAAGGGAACGTGCAAGTAGATCGCGAACTAATTTTGTGAAAACGAGGGAAGAAAGCACGATAAGGGACCGGAAACGAAAGCTCCAAGATAGAATTAAGCTAAAATAAGATAGAGATATACGATAGAATAAGAAAATGAATGTGTACCTAATCAAAAAAACCAGTCACCCAGTCTCGAATCATGTTATCTGATGTCACTAATGGCCTGATTTTCTTCGCTATATGTTGCGTATTTATTCTAACGACTTGTTGGAAAGCTTGATTTTCTAACGACAATGACCTCGTCGCTGCGTATACTCGCGAACGGACGGAAGTGACTATTTCTTGGAGCTCACGGGTCTGGAGTGTCGCGAGGCGAGCTTTGTTATTCACATCTTACGAATAGGAAATCGCGTGGAAAAAGTGCTGTGAACGAGTGATTGGCATTGAAACGAATTTTCTTCGCACGATAGCGCGTGCGAGAAGCAGAGGGGACGAGGGACGTACACAAATCGACTTCTAATAGCCTCACGTATGAAGTCATGCCATATTTTATGCGAAGTTCTACGTCTCATAAAAAAAATCTAAGCTGCTATTCCAAATTATATGTATGTGTATAATTATATATATTATGATTACATATATATATAATGATTATACATTGTTACCTAAATTTGTATAACTTCACATGTTGAGTCTATTGTGCCGAAATGTGTACGCATGTTCACGTGTACAAACGTGTCTATTCGTTATGTTATTGACGTACGGTGTGCGAGCGAACAAAAGAAAGAGAGAGAGAGAATATACTAGTTAGGCTCGATTGTAGGAAAATAAGCGTAATGTAAGTAGGTTACAAATAATTTAAGGTGTTAGCGTTTAAGAAAACGGAAGAACATTGTATATCCTCAGCGGAAACGACGAACATATGCAGACACACCGTAACTCGTGAGATGTGTAAAAAATGCGCGCGGGAAGAATCGAATTGAGAGAGAGAGAGAGAGAGAGAGAGAGAGAGAGAGAGAGAGAGAGACAGAAGACGAAGAAGAGTGTCGAGTCTAAGTGAATTTTTGTAGCCCGTTTCTAATTGGTGTTTGCCGTCTTATTCTTGTGTACGCATCTCTATATTTGAAAATATAACGAACGATACAAAAATATGCCGTTGTTATATACAGAATTCTCATTCACTGTGTCGAACGCGGATTCTGCTCCGCAACGTTGGTTTCTGCGCTGCAGTCGAGCCGGTCGGTATCTTCGTCGGGAACCTCCTGGTCTGTTACGTGTGACGTGTCACGTGCGTCGAAGGACTTCGAGTCTGACGATTCCTCTTGCTCCTCGGACTGCTCGGGAGCGATCGGTCGGGCGTTTTTCCTCTCCGGCAGCACTTTCAAGAACGCCTCTTGCCAAGTAACACCCTCCGTTATCCTCAACAATATCTCGAAGACTAGAAGAAATCAGTGATCTCTCTATACTCCCGATACTCAATCATCATTGGCACGACTAGATATTGGTATTTGGCTTACCATGGTCTATGGTCAACACTTTCCTCGCTTTCATCTTTAGGAACTTGTCTAACGGTAACCTGCCGTGCCTAATGCCCGCTTCGTTCGCTACTTTGTGACATATACCCTGTGTTTTAAATACTTCATTTAGAGACAGAAAGTTGAAAGGTGAGAACATTTGAAGCATTTGAGTCGTACCTTGTGAGAATTGTGATCGACCAAACCACCTATGACATATATACAGTCGTGATCTAAATGTTCTATCACGTTTTCCGACTCACTAGTGAGATATATGATCTTGTCCTTGGGATAAACATTTATGTATGACTTCGTATGAAAGCTGACCTGTAAAATTCAACGTTATTTGAACATTTGTTCAATCGGCTTGGCATATCCTCTTCTTAGGCAACAGAGAAGACATAAGTTGACATACATCCCAGTGTTCATATCCGTTGTGCTTTTCCATGTCATCCCGCGACTTGCCGGTGAAGCTGGAGAGAGAAAATTGTAAAGGGGCTGTTGCCCTTCTATTCAAAGCATAGCACCTTAGTATCTGTTTTGTTAACTTAGCGATGTCCTTATCGATCATTAACTCGTCGAATGACAAATCAATGGTTACCGTGAGCTTGCAAGAGCTAGCTGCCATGGTGCTTCTCTTTAGAACCTTTCTGGACGGGCCCAGGCTCAAGTTATTCGCACGTGCGTGGGCGCGTTTCTCCCTAGCCTTAGCCCTCTCTCGCAATCTACACTGATAAACATACAGTTAGGAGCCAATTAAAAGGTTGCAATGATAAAACAACATGTCGAAATCAAACGTACAAATACTGTTTCTCTGCTAATGAAAAAAGATTTTCTGGCAATTATTCCCTCTAATGAAGAAATGAGGAAAACGGATTGAGATATCAGTGTTTTCTAACCTCTTTTCAACTTTCCGCTCCAGCCATTTCTCCCTTTTCTTCACTCTCTTTAACTGACTCTTGCTCAGATTCTTCGGCAGCTCGAGCAACTTGTTTACGACTATAGTTTCACTGTTCTCTGTACAATTTACATCATTCATATCCATGTTGTTAGATAATCGTCGTGTCTCAAAACGCGATGCTTTTCTGGCTTTCCTTTTAATTTGACTTGACTCGCCGATGTTAGACGCAACAGGTTTTTCCATGACGCCGTTAGATGGCGGGTCAGTCAATTTTATCGAATTCACCGCGAAAATTCAAACCACCCAGGCGATCTATAGTTGCCGTTTATTTTCATCACGATCCGTCGGAAATTATACGCGCATACGCGTACGTTGTGGAGCGAGATTCAGCGAGAAACCTTTTCAACGTTCGATTTTTGTCGCAACATTCGCTCGTTCCAACGAAAATGACGCATTTAAAGGCAGATGTACAACGAGTCTGGCTACCATAAGAGCAGCAGCTCCGTCCACCGTAACCTCTACGCCGGGCAGATCGAGTTTACCGCCATGATCTGATCCGCTATCGGTGCCGCCAGAAATATCAATATTTAAGATTACATACGACCTTCATGTGCACGATTGTTTACATCGCTAGGTATGGAATGGCATGATATATCGTTCCTTAAAAGATACGGCTGTCGCATTCCAGTCGACCGGTCAGTATGGCTCGACATAATCGCCAGGCAGACTTAAGGAAAAGGATGTCGCGAACCTTATAAACGCCGATTTTTCGTCAAACATGTAAACTCTCTCCTACGACGCACACTACGACGACGTACACGTATATTTACATAGGTCTATATATATATATACATAAACATATACATATATGTATATATATGTATATTTAGATGACTGTAAATAATGGTGTTTTGGGCCATCGTTTATTTGATAGCGATATTTCTGCGCTTCAGTTCCACACAAGCAAGTACGTGCCTCTGAGTTACGAATATCATGATATAAGTGACATAATGTTGCGCACTAGTTGCTTGACATTCCTCCTTGCTTCAGGATCAGAGTCGCATGGTTATTGCGCCCCGTACAGCGGAGAGATCTGTAAGAAATATCTTGCTGGCATTGGAAAGGTATGGTTCAACGATTCCAAGGATAATCCTGGTGGATTATTGAACGAGCAGATCACCATAGATCTTTGGGACGAGTTGATATTAAAACTGGGGGAACCATGTCGCTCAGCAGCAGAGGTATACAGTGATACATTTGGTCTGTTTTTTTTTTTTAACTGAACTGGTTGCTCTAGTTCAAGAAATTCAAGCATAATGAAACATGAGAATTTTATATATATGTTTCATATGTTTCAATATGTATGTACATTTCTTTCAAAATGTACAGCCAGTTCAGTTAAAGAGAACAGATCAATTCTCAGCTCTGCATTGTGCAAGGTAGTATCCGAGTTAATCATGGAGTCTGATTCCCTTCTTATTGCAGAAAATGCTGTGCATGTACGCGTTCCCGCTATGTCACGAATCAGTAGGCCTACCCTTGTGTTACGAAGACTGCATGGCTATACGCCTGCAGTTCTGCTTCACCGACTGGGCGATCATCGAGGACAACAAGCAACGAAACATTTACATTCGCTCACGCGGACACTTTGTGCTGCCAGAATGTGAGAGTCTACCCAAAGTGAATAAAACGGTGCCTACGTGCTCGCACGTACACCTGACCGACATGGACGAGGAGGATGTAACTTGTAAGTCTTATTTATTGGATAATTCAACACTATCTGAAAAAGTATATTGATTGTACGATCAATTCATAGATGATTGCATCAGAGGCAACGGTAGATTTTACATGGGGAAGGTGAACAAAACGAAATTCGGCCTGAACTGCCAGTCGTGGAGCGCGCAAATACCACACAGCCACGACAAGCCTCCCGACGTTTTCCCGCAGATTCGTTACGGTGAGAATTACTGTAGAAACGCGGGCGGTGACGAGCCAATGCCATGGTGCTTCACAACTGATAATTCAATACGCTGGCAGCATTGCGATATTCCTGTATGTGGTGAGTACAATGGAAATGTTAAAAGTGCTCGAGCCTTCTCGAGCGTAATTACCATACAATTAGTTTTTCAATAACCATTTTCTCTATCGTATTGGAAGTGATAGAAAAATATCAGTAATTTAGTCAGGACAAAGGACGTATTGGAAGTGATAGAAAAATATCAGTAATTAGTCAGGACAAAGATTGAACGCTCCCAGCGTGGATTAATATGCAAATTAAGAAAGAAATTAATTTCTTTCTAATTAATTCACCAATTAATTTCTTTCCGATTACTTTAAACACGGTCACCAATTGATCTTGTTTGAATGAGTAACAACACGGTTCGATATCTCGCTCAGATAATGTTACGAGTAAAGTACCAGACGTTGAACCGAAGGACCCAGAGATGGAAATGCTGGTCACCCCGGCGATGATATTCATGCTATCGTTCGTGGGCTTCGCAATCGCAGTCGGCATATTCCTGTTCATCTTGTTCATCCTGCTGAGCCAAAGACTGCACAAACGCCAACGGGGCTACAATCCGACCGATAATCAAGTATGTATTCTTCTCGTAAGATCTGCATGTCCACACACACACACACACACACACACACACACACACACACAGAGGGTAATACAAACCGGAATAATTTCTCGTGAACCGTCTCCTTTTACATTCCCTGCACTTTCTTTTCTGTTTCATCATTAGTTACTGAATATCTCATGCATTATACAGGATCGGCCATTTAAAATCTTTACAAGTTATGAGTATAACATTCGCAAAAAAAATCTCTTTCGTCGCAGGACGTGAACATCGACCTAGACAAGCTGCCCAATAACGAGGCCTACCACAAGACGAGCGCTCAGCTGAACCCGAAGCTGGAGAAACTCGAGTTCCCGCGGAACAACATCATTTACGTGCGCGATCTGGGCCAGGGTGCGTTCGGCCGCGTTTTCCAAGCGAAGGCGCCGGGCCTGGTGCTGGGCGAGGAATTCACCAACGTCGCCGTGAAGATGTTGAAGGAGGAGGCGTCGGACGACTTGCTGGTGGACTTCGAACGGGAAGCCTGTCTGCTCGCCGAGTTCGACCACCCGAACATCGTGAAGCTGCTCGGCGTATGCGCCTTGGGACGGCCCATGTGCCTCTTGTTCGAGTACATGGGTCGCGGCGATTTGAATGAATTCTTGCGCTCTTGCTCGCCGAGCAGCTACGTCATCCGTAGCACGCAGGACCGCGAGGATGGCAGCGGTGCGGACTCGCGGCTCTCGCACATGGACCTGATCAACATCGCGCTGCAGGTGGCGTCCGGCATGGTGTACCTGTCCGATCGGAAGTTCGTCCACCGCGATCTCGCTACGCGGAACTGCCTGATCAACGACCAGATGATCGTGAAGATCGCGGACTTTGGGCTATCGCAGAAGATCTACCTGCAAGACTACTACAAGGGCGACGAGCAGGACGCCATACCCGTGAGGTGGATGCCGCTCGAGAGCATACTCTACAACAAGTACACCGTCGAGTCGGACGTTTGGGCGTTCGCCGTGTGTCTCTGGGAGATCTTCAGCTTTGCGCTGCAGCCGTATTACGGGATGACGCACGAGGAGGTGGTCAAGTACATCAAGGAAGGCGATGTGCTGCGCTGTCCCGACAACACGCCACAGTCGATATATTACCTGATGAAGCTCTGCTGGAACAGGCGACCGTCCGACCGGCCCACCTTCCGCACCATCTACCAGACTCTCGACGGCATCAAGCACGAGCTGGAGGCGGAGAACAAGTCGGACAGCGTACCGCTGCGAATTCGCGTGTGAACGTCGGGCTGACGTTGAGGACGACGCTGACGACGACGACGATGGTATTATCGGCCTCTCTCTTTCTCTCTCTCTCTCCCTCTCTCTCTCCCTNAAATTTTATTTCTCTATCAAGATTCGAGAACGCTGTAAATTTTCTAATCTCTCTCTCTCTCTCTCTCTCTCTCTCTCTCTCTCTCTCTCTCTTAATGACAGCATCCCATCGATTGGGACCGTCGACTAAGAGCAAGCGACATCACTTGTGTGTGCGTGTGTGCGTGTATCTACACTTCACGATTATGCATTTTCAGGTAAATAATTACGTGTTGTACTATAAATGTGACATGGAATGCCTTCTTAGTTGGATTCGCCTGGCCCGATCGCTCGCCAATCGGTCGTATCGCGTCGCGCGGAATGAGAAATGGACCAATCACACGTGGTGGAAGACGTGGCGGAAGGACGGAGGATGCGATGTTCGCACGATGCGTTGATATTTCCTCGAGAGCGCGTTTTACCGCTACCTCTTCTTCTTCTTCTGAGACGATCTGTCCCTGTTGGGATGCGTGATATGTACCGCTCTTTCATTATCTCTGCCTCCACCGTTCCACCGTCTCTCTTTTTCATTCTAACTTTATTCCTATCTTTCTCTTGATATCGCATTATCAAGTCCAGATCGTTACTTCTTCACTCGCTCGTTTCCATCTCCTAACTCATGTTTCCGATTACGCTTCCAATTATGCATCCGGAGGTATCAAGCAACGCTTTTCCAATGTGTGAGGTATTACCGAGTCTGTACAAATATATAAAAGTGGTGTGGCTATAAAAGTGCATTTACAATTAGTGACGTTATGCAGGGCGATCTTCGCGAAGCTTCCACCGGCGCCTCATAACAGGATAACTTCCGGGATCGTTGCGAGTGAGCGAGTTCGCGCGAACACGGGCCCGACTTTTGGATATTTCGAGGTATAATTTCATCACCTGGAACGACCCTCCCGCAGGGATTGTCCTCCGAGATGCCGGTGAAACCACGCACGGGTCGTCCGATATTTAGAGGCTCTTTCATTGTTAGACGTTAGGTTGTTAGATCGTTCGCTGTACCAAAAAGAAAAAAAAAATAACGGAGGGGAAACGGATAAATGAGACCTATTTAATATGCTGAAATTGACGAGAGAAGAAGAATTATGAGGGATGTTGAGCAATAGAAAATCATTAAGTGAGTGTGTGCGCACCGTGGAGCTGTTATGAATTAAAAAAAGAAAAAAAGATGCAGAAACGCGTCACGATGGTGATTCTACCAGCGAGGACAAAGCGGTGTCGCGTAACTCCTACCTACAATTTCGGATTACGTACTCGGCGTTTGTCGCGCATGTGATCTTTTTGATACCATTGTACTATTATTTAATGCGTAAATGCGTACTTTGTAAGGACTTTTACACGAAAAGTTGAATTCCATACTGTATTGGATCAAGTCACGAGTAACTCGAACGTTTTTATCCTGTACAAATTTGTTTACATATTTTACAATAGATCCAAAAGGTTTTTCCCTGATAAAATGAACTGAAATGCTCACGAGACATCGGAAACAAATCCATGAAGGACGCGGCACTAGGCGGAAGCCTAATTGAGCATTTCTTCGCACCACAAAGGCCTAAAATATCATGTATATCTAAAATATATACAGGGAATTTATTATTATTATTATTATTATTATTATTAGGGCATTATACACATTTTTGTTAGATAATTTTTTTCTATTCACATATGAAGATATTCAGTGGTAATAGTCATCACCACATCCTGTATATACACCTATATAATTTTATATATTTCATATATATATATATAAACCCCACAATTTTTATCTGGAATATTTTCTTCAAAATTGTATCGTTTACGAAATGTTCAGCTATATCCAGACTTTTGGCCCACTCTGTATAATTTCGTATCATCTCTTGACGTAAAACTTCAGACGGGGTATGACGACATGATCGCCAAATAGCGTCGAGTTGTTGAGCACGAAATTTCATTGTCGAACAAATTTCAATACTCATCCTCGAGAAAATTCTGAATTATCCAAACGCGATTCAGACTAAATGAATTCGTAAAATTGACAAACTTGCTATATATGTACACATATATATTTTACACATCTCTCTATTTATATTTATTATCTTTATATTTATATGCATCTTTTAACTTATTTATATGCGGTTATTTGTGACTCAATCCAATAGTTTATGATAAAGATTCCATGTTGTGTCCCGCATTGCGAGGATACACGGGGAAACGAGTCGTCTAGTTCTCTCGTTCTACGAGAGAAAAAGGATAATTGCGTCCCCTTGGTTATCTCTGATTTACATAGTTCTCGTTTTCCAATGTTCGTTTTTTCGATATTCGCTAACTAGAGCTTGTTGGAAGAGTAGTTCGCTGTTTCGTTCGACCTGTTGTAACTTGTAGCGAAACCGACTGAAACGAATCGACTGATCGCATCTCGTCACTGTCTGATTACATTCCAATAAGTGTTTATTGTTAAGCAACGTATCTATATATGGGGAATCGTCTGCACTATACGCTATATACGTGTTTTATAATGATTCTTCTTTCCTTCTTTTTTTTCATGATGAAATATTTTCTATCCAACGAGAGTAACCGTATAGACTATAATAAATGTAACAGTGACTCTCGGATCTCGTCGCGATTCATTTCCGCGAGTGATCGCTGGTTACTGATCAACGCCGATCAACGATTAGGTTTGCATCGTTATCGTTATCAATATCGACGTGACCCCCCCCCCCCAACTCGAGCATCGATGTGGAGACACGACTACCCGAACTTATAACGTAACCCGTGAATTCTTCCAAGCAACATTCGGTGTAGTGATTTCTTGTAAATAACCGATAATGTTTCACGAGTCTGTACTGCCGACAATACTGCCTTTATATATACCATTTCTACCAATAAAACTACTTTAATTGTGGAGAGTAATCACGCTGAATCAATAATCGATCTAATTGTGTACGCCACGAACACGTCGAGGCGGAAGTAACCACCAGCGAGACTTTTTGCCGATGTACAACCTTGACAAAAAATAAACGACCGATTTCGTATTACCTCGGACCTTCTCTATTTTCTCCCCTCACATATGTAATTCACTGATCGTTCAATACATATATATATATATATATCAAAGTTCACTTCACGCTTGATCTTGATACTGAAGCGCATCCGGAACTAAAAGCAAAAAAAAGAGCGACCGTATGAGGGATAAACCGTCGCACAAACCCACGTCTTCACATTGCATCGTAAGTATATATATATATATTTTGTTGTAACAGTGTATATATCTCTACCCGTGGAACTAACTTAAAATAATTCATCATCTTATAAAAAGCAGGTGGTTTGCGCCTCATGTATGTGTGTATGTGTTATATATATATATATTACATTGTTTTGGCTTACACGCTACTCTTATACAGAGATATACATAAAACACTTTGCGATATACAAACTGCGTCCAGTGCAACAACATTCTAGTCGCGTTACATCGTGTGTGATTACATTTTTTGGTATGTCTGTCTTTTAAATACGCTCATAAATACTTGTGACCTCGCGTTGCAAAGTACGGAATGTTTCCTTCGGCATGACTAGCTTCGCTTGATTCAGTCCATCCCTTTAATTAAACGTCAGGTGACGTGTCGTGCTTATGTATGCGTGTCGTGATGGAAAACATCTCGATATAGACACGTTCGTAGATTCTAATCGGGCTTCCCTCTTCAAGTTTGCAGACTATATATAGATATCGTTTGTCGTGTGCGCGCGCGCAACCGACGGGAGAAACAAGGTTTATACATTCACAACTGATCTCTATACAATACTGATATACGATATACCCCTTAGAAAGTAAATAATAATTACACCTACTAGTTATTGCAATTCAACTCTATATGCATTTGATACAACGAACACTCAGGGACCGAGAAAGGAACGGTTTCGGGGCGGTATTGATTCTCGAGGAGAGAATGCGCAAATGATTCCGACGTACGTTCGACGTATGGTATGACATGCAAAAAAGGTAAATCAGCGTGAAATAGATCAGCCAAGTCTCTCTCTCTCTTTTTCTCTCTTAGATTGAAAATTCCTTCGCATTTCTTCAACCCGAGAGAGAGAGAGAGAGAGAGAGAGAGAGAGAGAGAGAGAGAGAGAGAGTAGTACCTTTCAGCGTGCTCTGTTTCCAGTGACTCACTCTACATACTGCTGGCTCGTATAACTCTGCATGGTTTGTGTTACAGAAAGTACTGAACGTACACGTACGTTTCTACATTGCCTATGTTGTCGTTCGCACATAATACAATAACGACAAGACCGCAGACCTGAGACGCTACAATCAAAATGCGTCCTTGATGTTCTGGAACTGTCGAACAGCCAGGTCCACCGGCAAGTCAAACTTGTAATTGGTGAGGCGATCCAAGGTGTGAAACGCGTCCTGGAAACCTGTACGGGGGAAAAACGTTTCACTACCGTTTCAGAAGCTTCGTTCAGAAGTAGGAGCGTTATTGTGCGATATCGACATACCTGTCTTTACAACGTAGCTCCACGAGAGGTAATAATGGTCCAGAAGGTATTGGCATTGCAGGATCAGTTTCAGCCACACCACGAGCTTGTTCGCGCTGAGAAAGAAAATAAACAATGGTCAGTCGATCAGCGGCGAAGTGACAATAAATAGCGACCGACTGATGAACGGCCGCGATATATATGCGCTGTATAATGAATACCGTGATTAATTAGAAAACTCGAGCAACTCGGGAGCCCTTATCGCGACTACCCGGTCACGCGTTACTCACTTCAAAGCCGCGCATATGAACGCCTTGAAGTGCGAGTCGTAGCTTCGCTTGTACGGGCTGTGGGAAGCGATGATGTTACCTATCGTCGTCAACAAGCTCTGGACGGGAGAAAGAGAGAACGAGAAACGTTAGAACGTCGGATGGATCAGTCTTATTTTCAGCTGATCTGACCGCACCGGTTCAAGAAATTTAGTCAGACCAAGGAGGAGGATTTCTTATTATTTCAAGAGATTTGTACAAGGGAGATCGGGTCGGGAGTCACAAAGTTTATATCTCATGTAAAAAAAAAAAGGAAAAAAATATTCTTCTTTATAGCTTGCTTGTATCATCATATCGGTCGGATATCCCACCTGTTTGGAGGAGGCTATTCGGCCAGCCGCGAGGTCCAGGTTGAAGCTCTGCGACAACTTTTGCGCCGGACTGGAGTTGTAACGCCGTCCGTTCTTGATTTCGTAATACTTGAGTATCAGCTCCCAGGCGTGCATGAAGCTGGACGACGAGACGTTCCGCTGGGGGAAGCAGCCGACGAACGGTACGACGCTGGTGGAGCGCAGCACGTCGGAGGTGAGGCCGTGCTGCATCAGGTCGCGGATCGAGGCGGCCAGGTGCTTCCTCACCGCGGACGTGAGCTTCGCGTTTGCGTGGGAGGCCGAGTCTGAGTCGGACGTGTAGTCGTTGTCGATGTCGTCGTCCTCCTCCTCGTCGTCGTCCGGCTGCCGCTGCGCCTCCGCGATCGTCTCCAGCACGTGCTCCACGGCGATGTCCAGCCTGGTGCGCAGGTCTCGCCAGTTGTGCACCGGGTTCTTCTTGAAGTTACGACGCACGCGCTCACTGCCGCAGCCGAGCTGCGACATGAGGAACATGTGCAGGAGCGCGACCACCTTACGCACGGTGTTGAGCGTCCTCGTGCGGTTGCCGTCCTCTTCGATCGGTCTTCTGTCGAAGTGCCGCTTCGCGTAGGAGGCTGAGCCGCCGGGACCGGCGCTCGAGCCGCCGGCGTGCACCGGACATGCGCATGTGCACGCCAAAGTCTCGGTGCTCACCTCGCCTTGCAGGTAGTTGATGAAGCGCTCCAGGTCGGCGATCTGCGTCTTCAGCTGGCACACCAGCTGCTCCTTCATCTTCAACGGGCTGACGATCTGCTGTGCGCGATAGATGCGTGTTAATTGCTGCACCGATTATAGCGAACGATTAAGGAATCATGCTCTACGCACTTGACTTATCGCGTAATCGACTTGCCATCTGAGGTCGTCCGCCGGCAACTTGCACAGATCGTCGACGTTGAAGTTCAGCTTCTCCTTCAGGTGACCTGCGGGCGTGGAATTCGGCGACTTAGCGAATCGTTGTCGTGCTGTTGGACGAGAAGAACTCGGTGTATCTTCGGTGATATAGATAGGACTCACTGATTATGATATTTTGCCTCTCCAGGATAACGCTCTGCGGCAGATCAGCGTCGCCCGTCTCGTACGCGTACTTCTCCAGATCCTCCAATTGGGACTTCAGCTGGCTTATCAGCTCTCTCTGTTTCGTTCTTTGCAACGCCATTTTAGACTCGATCTCCGCGTCGATGATTACACCGTTCACCTACAGTTCACGTTACAAGTCGGTGCGATTAAATTAGCTATTAGCGAGGCGAGTCCCTCTGCGATTTTTTCCACTGCTGACTTTCAAGTGCTGTAGCCGTAAAGAGGTTTAGAAAATTGTGACAGGCGTATGTAAGCGTGTGTTTATCCGCTGCGATCTTGTCCTCGTTAATCACGCGTGGAATGAAGGATGAGATGCGCAGGTACTAAAATAAATTGGAAGAATAGAAAGAAATAAACGGAAAGGAACTTTTATTGCGCGATGAATCGTGGTGTAAAGAAGGAATAAAAATTATCAAGATGTGTAAAATAAACTCGGGAAAGTAAGATTATGTATAATCATATAAAACTAATATAATTATATATAATCATATGTGATTTATATATTAATTTTGTCTCTGTATGGCTACATATATAATTATATATAATTATGTATGTTCACGCAAAATAAAAGTACGAAAAAAATGGAAGAAGTATTTTGATTGAATTAAGCGTTTACATCGTGGACAGTTATAAACATAAATATTTACTTCAATTACACTCGTATAAGAGTATTTTTTAGATGTAAGACATATATAGACAAAATTCATAATATAATCATGTATAATTTTTTCCCGGGAATACAATGTATATAAGTTGTGATAAGATATAACAAACATAACGAAATAATAAAAAAAATTAAATGTAAGATGACTAGAAAACAATGAAATGGACATTTCATCGTATATATAGTTTTAAAGAAAAAACCGTTTTTTTTTTCAATTTTCCGCGGATTTCCTAAGTTTCTGTCTCAAAGGTACAAATTTCGTTTGAAAAATTTCGTTTAGAAAAATTCACATGCGATTAAAACTTGCCACATTAATTTTTTTCTGCAAAGAAAGTAACAACCAATAAAATCTACGGAAAAATTGGGGAAAAACGTTTTCCAAAATTTCAAAACTATAATCGTATATATATATGTAAGCACATATATGTAAGCATACATAATAAAAATATGCGTTTTGCAAGCAAAACTGCTGCTAGCAAGAAAATATCACATAAAAGAGAAACCGTTGCGGAAGATTTGTTTATGTAGAAAAGCTGCGGAATATTTGTTCCCTCTGTGTAGCTTACACTTCGATCACAGGATATAAGGGAAACCGGCGTGACGGATCTGCTTTCTAATAGTAAGTTATTTGGAACATCCGGTATTCCCCTAAATGCAAATTCTTCTAACTCTTTGAGCAATGTCTCCTTCTCGCTGGCTGGCGCATCTACAATTTGTCGGAGACGAAACTGAACCTATCAGGAGGTTCAATTGGATCAGTACACACAGGTAATTGCAATTACGAATAGATCGGTATACTTTTAATCATCATACCTGAGCAAAGTGGGTGGTTAACGCTATCAGAGATGAGTTCAACATCTCTTGTTCCTCCTCTAGTACCTTGACTCTTTCCATGTCGTACGTGAGACTGTCAACAACAGAATTGCTTTGTTACTTTATGCACAAGTAGTCATTAACACCGTTCTGATGATCACTCGATCAAAACAGCTATTTGAAGCTTGTCTACTGTTTGTAATTGAATCTTTACTGCCCGTAGAATTAAAATCACATACCAGTCTGTCCTCCTATATTACAGATCATTCTTTCTACGTTTCTTTTTGTCAACCATCATGCAATATGGAACACCGTGTACTGTACAATTTGGAATAGCTGTTTTAAAACTCCCACATAATAACACATTCACTGCCTGTCTTTACGAGGATATTTCTCTGCACATTGGATATCTCTGAGTCCCCAACAATAGCAGAGAGGCTGACATTCAGCCTGGCATGTGAAACAAAGAGAGAATGAGATAAGTCACCGACGCACTTCTCCATGGCACTGACGTATTTGTACTCGTCCGTGAACTCATTGTCGCCGTCGTTCGCGCCGACGGGGGCCCATCTCTCGCCGGACGGCCTGTCACTCTCGTCCGAGTTCTCGATCTCGTCGCTCTCGCAGACCTTCTGCTGCACCCGTTCGCCGTCCATCCTCTCCTTGCCGCCGACCGCTTCGCCTTCCTTCTGGTCCCAGCGCGGCAACGGGCAACATATCGATTTAGAGGCTGTCAGTCACGGACGCGCCCGCGACTCATCGTTTTCCCTCCACGCGTTTCCGTGATTTACGTACCATGACAAGCACCCCCCGGGACGGCCGCCTCGCGGACTGCTAACTCGGCCAGATCGCGTGCGCCTACCTCGCAGGTCCCTTATTCATGCCTAAATCACTAACTGATCAGTGCGCACGTGTACACGACCGGGACGGTCCAGCGGACGTCAGAGGAGAGAGCGGTACAGACCGTGCAAGAGTTGATTAACGCAATTCTTATCGCGTCCGTACATTCCGTGCATCGGCGTTGCAATTCGTGTCTCGGTCATGGCCGCCAACCCCGTGTGAAGAGGTCAGCGACGGAACGTGGCCGATTATTGGACGGCACGTCGTATCCACCATTCGCCCTCAAGTCGCTCGCTTAGTGATCGCTGTGCTCGCCAACGCGCCAATTGGCTGGCGTTCGGGCGGCTCTCCCGGGTCCCACGAAAGTCCCTAGCCGCCGATGAATCGCGGCCTGGCAGAGAAATGCGCGTATTACGTCTGTTAGTTTCGTTCGCTCGATGCTTTCAAAATGTTGAAGGTTATGTCATTTGTATAACATGGCGTCAAACGAGAGTAATAGTTTTCAAAAGTTGCTGGAGTATCGGATCTTCAAGTGCTCCAGCTTCTGCTCCACCTTTGTACCTGAGTAAGTGACCCCGCCGGTTGCGCGTTGCATCGTCATGATGTCAGAGTTGTCGGGCCGTCCGTCTGCGACGGGCTGGACTTAACCTAAAAAAAAAAAAGAGGAGATGTGTCAGATAAACCTCGTCTCATAGACGCGCGTTAAATTCGCGCGCGAGCGGAAGGCCCCACCGTGTCACGTAATTCACGTGCGCCGATGCTGTTTCAGAAATATCCTCATCGACAAGCCATCGGATCAGACGTCCCGTTGGTCCTCCGAGCTTGACAGTCATCCGCAGGTAGGAGTTGTTTTGCGCACAATTTCGTCGCGAGTCATTTTCCTACCGTCCCTCCGTTTATCTCGCAAGATCGTGTGTTTTCAGTACATTATTCTCAAACTACAACGTCCTTCCATTATCGAGACCATTACTTTCGGCAAGTATGAGAAAAGTCACGTGTGCAACATGAAAAAATTCAAGGTTTTCGGCGGACTAGACGTCGAAAATATGACGGAACTTCTCGACAGGTTCGTCGATTCTTATCTCAGTTAATCCGTTACTTTTGCTTGTATCGGAAAGTTTCTGCAATATCATATTTTATATGTAAACACTGAAGTACATTCCGATATTTACTACCAATACTATGAATCTACAGTTTGTGTTATATATTCTATAGATTTGAAGTACTGACAGTAAATGCTGGAACATACTTTAACGTTTACCGTATCTGAGAAGCAATATTGTTAAAACTTCTTATTATCTGTCTGTTCTTTTCCGAATTGACTGCATTAACTTGCACCAGTTCTGTTCTTTTCTTTTCTCACCAAGTTTAAGAAAAGACAGATACATAGTTAACTTCTACAAGTGTATACTGGGTCAATGAAAAAGAACAGACCTCTAGCCTACACCTGCTAAAGTACTTTTGTTCCCAGTGGACTGAGGAATGATTCTACACCGGAGACATTTGAGCTTAAACACACTGTGGGATCTGAGGAGAATTTTCTGCCTCTCCGATACATCAAGATCCTCCCGTTACTGTCGTGGGGTTCTAGTTTTAACTTTTCTATATGGCACGTCAAGCTAGTCGGTATCGATGAGTCCGAGATCGTGAAGCCTTGCCTAGAATGGGTCAACATGGTAAAATTTGTTGTTGTGTCAAGGGAGAGAAAAACAGAATGTTCCAACTTGTAGCTGAGAAAGGGAGATGATGATAAGAGCGATTGTATCGTTGCAGTACCGGCAGAAGGAAATAATAAGACTATGTATGAAACATTTCCGGCGATTGGAGCAGCCGGAAATTGTGGAGACTCTGCAGAGAGTCACCGGAGTCTCCCTGGAAGATTCACGGTTGTCGACGTTGTATGACCTGCTGGTCGTGAAGGGCGATCATTTACAGGCGGAACGTTTTGTCACTAATGCGGTCATGGGTAAGTCCCCTTGTCACACTTGTACCTCCTTCGAACCTGTCTCGCAGCCGTGACGCTTATACATTGAATGCGCTTTTTAGTGGGGCTCTTAAACGATTATATCAATGCTCAAACTTATAGAGCAAGTTGGACGAAGCTAACGTCCAGCGATCCTAAGCCCGGGATGCGAGGGGGCCATCAGATGGTGCTCGACCCTACGGCCGAGGTGCTCTATCTCTTTGGCGGATGGGACGGCAACCAGGATCTTTCCGACTTATGGTCGTACGATATTGCGGTCGGCAAGTGGACGCTCATATGCAAGGATACCGAAGCGGTGGTTGGTGTATTGTCGAGTATCTACACCTTTTGGAAGAAAAACGCTTCGGTCTTTTCGTTATAAGAATCTTAACAGTTTGTGCACCACGTCGGTCAGCTGCTAATAGTTGAAGAATTGAGTTACACGGTTACAGAGGTTAGAAAATCCTTAGATTTCATAGTGGTCACAAATCGCATACATTTGCGAGTTGAATTGAGTTGAAAAGTCCACGACTGAAAAAACTGAAGAAGTGGACGTTGGCCCTTTTCTTCCAAGGTATAGGTATATAATGTGTGTATATATAATTATATAATAATAATTTTATTGTATAATTAGACTCTCGAAATTGCGCATATACGAATTGTACGAATATTTTATGATATTTAATGGTTATAATTGCACGATACATTGTTATATGTAACGCATCCATTTTTAGGGTGGTCCATGCGCGCGCTCGTGCCATAAAATGTGCCTGGACCCGAAGAGACGGCAGCTGTTCACGCTCGGGAGGTATCTGGACACGCAGTACCGAACCTGCGAGAATCTAAAGAGCGACTTTTACGTTTACGACATCGAGTCCAATAAGTGGACGCTTATCACCGAGGACACTGGAGCTGTGGGCGGACCTCAGCTGATATTCGATCATCAAATGACAATGGACGTAGAGAAGCGCACTATCTACGTTTTTGGCGGACGAGTGCTGGTTATTCCACCGAAGTAAGTAGCACCGGGGTGCGGGACGCGCCTTCTGCAAAATTACGGCGGAAATTAAGGTCACTAAAATATGGCCTCTTCCAAACCATGCAACTTTTGTCTGAAACATTTCTTTCCATTTTGTTTTATTTTTGTCACATTAAGGTGTCTTAATTTAAATGTCTCATCTTGTATATATTATTTCAAGAATTATGAACTTTAAATATTGTAATTTATGAACTTTACACCGCTATATCTTCAAAACAGAATGATCAATAATTCTGAAATTTGTGTACAATGTCTGCGTATTAGTATTATTATAATAGTTCCTCATCAAAATCTTATTTTTAATTTGAAAGATGTCAAAAATAAAAATAGCACGTTAATCTCAAGGAAGACATATAAAAAGTGTCAACTTTTTAGTTACAAATATCTTAACCCTCAATTTCTTTCTAATTATACAAGCAATGAATTGGACAATATTTCAGTAAAAGTTTCAATCTATAATCTTCCGCCATTCTTCATACATATATTGTCATGCACAACCCGATACATCGTTTCTTCAAATTGCAGTCCGGACGATCATGGTATGCTGCATTCAACGGACCCGGTTTTCTCGGGATTATATTCTTATCACGTGCCGACTGGAACTTGGGACAAGCTCGCCAGTGATGTTTCCGACAAGTGTTCACGTGATATTCCATCCTATCGATCTCGTGCCGGACACTCCATGCTATTTCATCCAGTCGGTATCTCCTCTCTTTCGCACCGTAAAACCATTCGATCAAGTACGACGAGACACGTTCGTGATTCTTCCAGGGATCGAGAAAGCTGTACGTATTCGCGGGCCAACGAGGTAAAGAATACCTGAGTGACTTTTTCACTTACGAAGTGGACACACATCAAGTCGAGTTCATAAGCATGAACGAATTCGGCACGAAGGACTCCAGTCACGTGCCCGCGGCTGGGTACACGCAAAGAGCGACCATCGACCCCGAGCTCGGCGAGATTTACGTTCTCTCGGTTCGTATCGCTCGGTCATCAAACACTGTGCCTGATTGAGCGATGAACGAGATATATTTCCTGGATATATTTGCAGGGTCTGAGCAAGGACAAAGACAAAAGGGACGATAACGTGCAGAATTCCTTCTGGGTGTACAATATCCAGAATAGCAAGTGGACTTGCATATACCGCAACGAAAACGCCGGCGAGAAGTATTGGAGCAAGATGCAAGATTACGAACCGTGCCCGCGATTCGCGCATCAGATCGTTTACGATCACACCAGGAAGGTAAAGACCTGGCGCGTGAGATCGAGGTATGTTTCTTCAGAATGCTCATATCTTCTCCTTCTTCCCCGTCAGGTTCATTTTCTGTTCGGCGGTAATCCAGGCAGGTCTTGTCTTCCGAATCTGAGACTCGACGACTTTTGGCAGTTGGAACTGCGCCGTCCCACGCCCGAGCAGATCCTGAAGAGGTGCAAGCTGATCATCAGGAAGCATAAGTTTCAGGAGCTCGCTCTTAGCAATAGTATAGAGGCCCTCGAATATTTGCAGACGAGAGTCTCCGAGATTATCGATCACAGCGACACGCAACAAACGAAAGAGGTAACTGTACGCGTGTTCTTTATGTGCCTAACGAAAGAATGCACGGGGTTGTCTCAAGAGACGACTCTTGGGATTATTCCAAGCAGAAGGAAAGATCTGTTCTTTTTCGCTGAACTGACATATATTTATAGAACTTAAAAAGAGACAGATGTGTAGTTAGATTGAAACTCGGTGGAAGGAGGAGAAGAGAAGTAGTACAAGCCAGAACAGCGAAAAGGAACAGACTTAAAGTTCGCATCAACACTGATTCAAACCTCGATACTTATGGAATTACAATTTGAAACTTAAAGAACACGAAACCTTTCGTGAACAAAAATTAGAAACAACAATTCAACCGAACCTTCGCTACATTTATATCTAACATATAATCTTATTGTATCGACATATGAAATATCGAACTTTTTAACTCGTAAAACTTTTTAATCTTACCCTTTAACTCCAAGAATCACTTCGTTCTATGTGCATGCATGTGTGGCCGGTCACAAAAAGTTTGCATACCTTTTTTCGATGAATTTCGCGTCTCGTGTCCAGTAGGGAAAATTATCTTTCCTCTGAAAATTACTAGAAACACGCTCTCCTATTGGACACGGGATGCGTTCCGAAGCTTATGAAAAAAAGTGTCGTGACCTTTTCGTGATTGAGATCACACGTTAATCGTCGAGCTGCTTTTACATCACGACAACCGTCACACCAGTGTTTTTCCCTTGCAGTTTCAGTCATTGACCTCGGTCTTGTTCCGAGAGCGCAACGATGCATCAGTGACTGCTTCCGATCCGAATACGTCCAACGACATCCTGAGCGATCTGGCCGCCGGCATGGCGCAACAGCAGTGTAGGAAGTCACGTAACGTACATAATCTGCGCACCGAGCTCTACGACGAGCTTGCCGAGTACTTTCCTGAGTCAATGGCACAGCCACGGGCGAACCTAATCGATCTCTTGCCATTATAATGCGACGGCGAGCCGCGAGACGACGGATTGTTCTGACGCATATTATACCCCCCCCCCTACCCCCCTCCCTTCCTGTTATTCTTGATTACTTCCGTTCTTTGTTCTGTTACCTGCCACTCGCCGGACGAAAGCACTTCTTGCTGTCACACTTGTTTCCTCTTTTCTTTTTGTAAATTAACGACGAACTTCGCCACGGTGTGATTTGCTTTTCCGCTGTTTCCGATTCACTACTAATCGCGGGAAAAATGGTTAAACTGTGTTTCTTCAGCGCTACCTTACGGATTCCGGCGGCCTTGGTAGCCCACTGTTTCTTTACGATTTTATTTATTTCGTTATTACATACACGTGTACGTATTCACAATATTCGCTCTACCGAGGAGATCCTTTTTCTTTCTTCTCGTTCTCGTTATAAATTGCGTTTACTCGAGAACAAGAAACCCCCGGACGAAGCACCTGTATGTTACTTTACGATTAACCTGAGATCGACTTTCTTCTTCTTCTTCTTCTTCTATGAACTTTGTGATATCGATAGCTTTCTCTAATCATCGACTGGTTAGCTAATGTATAAGTAGCTGTATCGGTTTTATAATATCTCTCTTATATTCCGTAACTTATATGTTTATAGCGCGGCCATGAAGTTGTTATGTTTGCTGAAGTAACATGTACTCGTCGAACAAACCGAGGGAACTGTCGTTGAGATAAGTCTAAGATGATAGATAATGCGCTGAGAAAGAAGAGAGAGAGAGAGAGAGAAAGAGAGCTCTTGTTGTGGCGTCGAGGGGCAATACGATGTCCGTGCCGAGTGCTGCAAACTCACCGGTAGCCACAAACAGTAACGGCAAAATCTTGTCTCGGTGTTGGAAAGAAAATTCCTGTTTAGATAAATCTTTGGTACCGCGGCCAGTCTTCTAGCGATACGGAAAGGTTTGCGAAAAAAGAAAATTTTGTCGTTATGCCCGATGGCGTCCGAGGAGACAGGCAGGTGGCACCCGGCGTGTGTAGCACACTCCCTCTGTTACACGTCGACCCTCTTTTCCCCCTCTCGTGTAAAATATCTTTTTAGCGAACGGCATTTTAGCATCGGTAGTTCGAATTATCTCCTTTGTCTCCTTCGTTTGCAATTCGGGAATAAGTTCACTCACCAGGGATGCCTTCTGACGACGAGCAACACGAGAAAGATGGAATCTGAAAGTGTATCGCACCTGCAAAAGTATTGACCGCGAGTTAACACGTTGCAGTTGGACCCTTTCCGATTTCCCACGATGTTCTCCGGCTCCCCCGCACACACATTTTCACACCCATCTGTTCACGAATACACACATACACACACATGTTTTACGACGCATTTGTCGCAATAGAAATTACGCACAAGCAAATTAACGAAGTGCTCCGGGAATTTTAAGTTCGCGTCAACAGTGTAAATATAAAACGTTTCAGCGCTACCGACTCGTGACTTTCCCCTCCATCGTAATTGCCGGACGGTGTGCCAGTTTTACGGTTTGACGGCCGATATCTCCTGTACATAGCAGTGTATCGCACCTGAAACTGCAAAATCGGTCTCTCGTTTAGGAAGAAGGAAGAAAAGGCGAAGAAAGGAAGGGCGAAGTCCAAGCGAGAACAACATAATGATTTACACATCGCGCATTGCGGAGCGAAACGAAAAAACTGCACCCGTTGAGAGTTCAGAGGCGTGTCTTTGTACATACAATTGTAACGATTTAAGGAACGTCAAAGATTTTTATAATGTGATTCCAGTTACGCGCTAAGTTAGGTAATGGAGTTATGTACAGAAAAAAAAAAGAAGAAAGGTATTGAGAGCGAGGGAGGTATGTGTAGAGACGAATGAGACTCAGAGTGTAGAAAGACAAGTGTACGAAGCTTTCGCTAGAATAAATCGACACGATGCCGCCATTCCTCAAATATACATAAACCAGACTTGCCTTGAAGCTAGAAGGACTACTGTGTCACACCATCACACACACATATACATATATATGTATACAAACATATCTATATATATGTGTGTGTAGGCGTACACACAAAACCGATCCTTTGAGCTCCGAGGCGCGAAAATGACGAATGATATCCGAAGTTCTAGTCAGATAATAAATGTTTATAAAAATTACACGAAAAACACGACGGAGTTTGGAATTTATTTACTTACTTGGTTTACTTACGCGAGTTCGGTTGAAAGGCCAAATTTTATTTATCACCATTATCGAGAAATGCATCTTCTCCAAGATTTATCGTACACAGATAATACTCTTTGCAATAGATAATATACAAAACGTATATGATATATGTATGTATGTATGTATATGTGTATATATATATATATTATATACTTGCACGAGAGAAGAGACGGTCAAATGCATTAAATACGTCGATATTGTTCGATATCGACATTGTCCAAGTTCAAAACGGAAGATCAAATAATCGGTAGTATGTAATCAGTATAAATGTAAATTCTCAGTCTCTCTCTATATATATATTATTAACACACACATATATATATATATAAATTATAGTAATTTGTCTTGCAAGGAAACTTTATATACTGATTCGCTGATCCGTCCCCTTGTGTCTCATTCATCATTTTTACCAAAATATACGTGTATTCTTTCACAATAACGTGTACTATTCGGTGTTGTCTACTTTTTTTTTCTTTTTCTTCGCTTTTCCTTTTTCCTCGGTCTCTAAAGTATGTTAACTTTGGTAAGACATATATGTCATCTCTGATATGAGATTGTTGTACGTATCACATTGGAAAGCCTAGATTCTCAGAAGCACCATCAATAAGTTAGCGAGATACTGTTATTTCTGGAAGTTATTAGAGAGAAGAAGCCTATATTAGATTAAAAATAAAAAAAAAACAATACGAATAGAGTAAGATATGTCAAAAGGAGGAAAAGAAACACCTCGAACGTCGCTCATACAATCGAATCGCGACCGTCGTATACATTGCTCGGACGTTCGGTTGGAGGTATTACGCTATCAAGTTCGTTAAGATTAATTTGGAGTCTGGTAGACCATCGATCAAATAATGAGGAGAATTGGACATGGACGCGAGGTCCGCCTCGAACAGCGTCAATTGCAGCTCCTTCCGCGCCTTCTGTACAATATATACCATCAGCGAGACCCCGATTAATATCTGCAAGGAAAGGGAGAGGACCGTGTTTTATTTCATAATCGCCCACCGCAGCTGCCTCGCTGCTGCGAAAGCTAACGAGAACGTACCTGAAAGCAAAAGACTATATAGCCAGTTGCCGCTGTAGATCTGTCCTCTAACACGTCCTGCATAGATCTCAAACTGCTGCCCAGGTAAACGTTTACCAGCTGGGCAGGTAGTAAGCCTATTGCACTGGCAATGTGGTAATGAAAACCACCTATGTTACTGACCTAGTAATATATAATAATAATAATAATAATAATAATTACATACATACAAACATATAAATACATAGGGTGAGTCAGTTGAAACTTCCATCTAAAATAAGATAGAATAAATATTGATTTTATATGAAAAAATTTGTTAGGCAAAAATTGAGTGACCTTTAAAGGTTGACATTCATGTGACTTTAGTACCTCGACATGGAAAAAAATTCAGAATACAAGAATACATACTCTACGAAATGATTTAACTTTTTGAGAAAATTTATCTGTAAAATTGATATTTGTCAAGTTATTTTAGACAGCAATCTTAAGTGACTCATTCTGTATATTGCTGATTATATATATGTATATATATATATAAGATAAGATTGTGACTGAAGCTGTTACATACCGCAAAGATGGTATTCTGAAGACCGAACGGGATCGGCGTCAATCGCGCGAACAACACGATCTTGAAAGCCTGAGGGCCAGAGATAACACGGAGTATTGCTCTAGCTGTGTCGCTCTGTAGGAGAGCACCTATAGGCAGCTTGGTAGAGAGCAGACCCAGAGTAACATGAGCTATAGCTATGCCGAGATTGGCGGAAAGTATCACAATTGTCATGCCGCGCACCACGCCGAAGAGGTAGCCACTGGCGACGATGAGGAATAGATAACCGATCACGATCGGGAAGGAGACCACCGTGAACAGGGCTATGAAGATCACAGTGATGACCCAGGCGTTCTGGTGCTCGATCCAGTACAAGAGCACTTTGATGTAGTCCCTGCAGACGAAGACTATCGTGCCGAGGAAGGCCAGCGTCGCGATTGTGATTGCCACATAGCATATCGAGTTCGAGCTGATACAGTTGAACGGTATCGCCGAGCTCTTGGAAGAACGCATCCCAGTCTCCACGTCGTCTATGTTAATAATATCCATGGTCTTCGGTCTCTCTCTCTCTCTCTCTCTCTCTCTCTCTCTCTCTCTAATATCCACAGTGCGCCAACGAGTCGCCTCTTGACAGTAACGTGCTTGAAAACGAACGAAATTTTGAAAATCTTCAGCCACGCGAGATTCGGACGAGAAGGGAGATTAAACGAAGATGGTTGAAGGAGAAGCGGTTCTTTTTACCTTTCAATATACACGTCGGTCGGCCACGCTATCAGCTCTACACTTTGACCCATAATTACTCGGAACGTGAGCGAACTTGTTCGCGGACGACGCAAGTCACAAAGCACCGCTCGTCAAACGCGTCGTTCGACGACATGCCACTCTCTGTAACGAGGAAAAAAAATTGGTCCGATGAAGATACCAAAAGGTTACGTTGGTGCGCCACGACGCACTTGTGCGGAACTTCGGGCAAGTGCATTACCCCGATTACGCGTGACGTTCTCACTGATCATCAGTATTCCTCACGTTGTAAAAAGCGCGATCCCGCACTCCGATTAACTGTCAGTGATGTGCTTGTAAACAGCGAACGATCGCAAACATGGTCGGCAAGCGTGGCAGATAATCATAAATCATGGAAATTAGATAGGGTGCGCTCCGTGTACTTTTTAATTCGAGCGTCAGAAGCGATCAGAATATGGACCACCGATTGGTCGATTCGTCATATGCAATATGGAAAATAGAAGACGGAAAACTGAATTCATTATTGTGCATACTAATAAATGATAATAATATTCATGTAATTCTATGTATAAGTTAGTGAACAACTGGAATCTCTCGACAATATAAAAGTGCATTGTCTCGGCAACTTTTCAATTTTATGTAAAGAAATACTAATCCTTTACAAAATATAGTTTATTCTGAAATATTTTATATTCAAAATTTCATAACTACCGCGTGATTATGCATGATTAGATATCATTAGATACAATCACCTAATTACTATTGTGCAATTATATATGTCCCATGATTATGCATGATTAGATATCATTGGATACAATCACCTAATTACTATTGTACAATTATATATGTCCCATGATTATGCATGATTAGATATCATTGGATACAATCACCTAATTACTATTGTGCAATTATATATGTCCCATATCTAAAAAATGCTGTTACATGAATATAATTGAAGCAAATGCTTATATTTATGGCTGCCCATAATGCAAACATTTAATCGAATCAAACCACTTCTTCCCTTTTTTATTCAACAGTATTTTTATCTCGTGTGGACATATATAATTATATATATAACGTTATATGTAATTATATACAACTTCGTAGCTTCGTAAAATATCATTAGTTTCTTAATAATCTTTCTAAGTTATCTTTATTTTTTGGATTTATTTTCGTTCAGACTATAGAAATGAATTTAAAAAGCGTGCTACAGATTCTTTGTTAATGGTGGACGGTGTTCATATTCTCACTATCGATATTCCACTTTTAATGAACTTTAACAAGAGCACTGTAGATGGCAATACTGTACGGTAACTCGACGCGAAAGTCAATATAAATTAACCGATAGTTTCTACGCACGCAGGTACTCTCGTTGGTTTTATTTCGAAAAATTCAACGGAGATGAAACTCGCTTACGAATCGAACACTCCAGATGTACATATACTTTATTCCACTCGACTCACATCTCTCGACAATATAAAACTGTATTGTATCGGCAGGTGTGAAACTTGAAACAGCCTCACGCGAACGCAGGTGCGAAAGTAGGGCGAAACGCATCTTATGACATTGAAAACATTTTATTCAGTCAGTAAGAAGCATTCTACATGATGATAATAATAATCATAGTATAATCCGTGACAATAATAATAATTAATAATCATAATAATTCATTCGTAATAACCACTTTGTTAAATGTACAAGGTAAACTCTTTCTCTCGTCTCTGTTACTCGCGCTCTCCGTTCTCTCAATCGCTCTCGCTCACGCACGTTTTAATTGTCATATTATTATTTGTATACATATATATATGTATATGTATATATATATATATATATATATATATACGTAAAATTACACAAAAATTCACCGATATAAAAATCAAACATCGTACATCCTCACAAGACTCTATGAATGTAGTCAATAAATCAATCCTATCTCGTCTTTCTCTCTCGTCTTTCTCCCTCTCTTTTGCTGCAAAGATATCTTGATACTTCTTTCTTTTTTTTTCTTTCAGTTCGGCATTCGGCAGCGTTGTTGGATTTGAAGGACTACTTTTAAAGCCCGTAGCAGCGGCCACGCTCGCATCTTTTCTATATATATATATTTATTTATTTGTACACTTCAACTAGGTCCTTATCTCCTCTCTCTTTCTTTCTCTCCCTCCCCCCTTCCCTCTCTCTAACTCATTCCCTCTTTCTTTCTTTAACACAGGTAGGCAAGAAGAATTCGTATCCGGGGAGGGCGGATAATAAATCCGCCCCGCGGTATATCCTTCAACGAAGCTCTAATTAGAAACATGTCCCCGTAAAACGAATCTCGATGGCCGGTCGGTGTTGAACTGATAACAGAAAGGAGACTGCATTTACGGCGACGCGAGCGAGACCGCCGCGGTGATTCCATTACTGTAAATCCATATTTCTATTGATTTGAGGTAGTGTATTCAATGTAATCCTATTACCTTGCTGCTATATGTTGCGTGTGGATATGTGTATCGTATGAATACTCCTTCCACACACCTACGCACTGCGACCGCGAGCCCAAAACACGAGAAACAGCGGGACTGAAATAGCGCGAATACGAGTTGCGTTTGTTCGCAGAGGCCTCGGAGTAGAAGAGAGAAAAAGAGAAAAAGAGAGAAAGAGAGAAAACGCGTTCGTTCTATTGCAAAGTATTCTATTGCGCGACTGATACAGCCGGCATCACGGCAGTAAATCGAAACTTCGTGGAGGTATTTGTGTATAAAAAACACTAACACTACTCGATCGTCCGTTTGGGAAGAGTTTTGGGCTCGCCGGCTGCGTCGGTCGTAGGTATGTTTCAAAAATTATCGTCTATGCGTGGAGTATGAGGAAGGCCGAATGTCGGACGGATTCTCTGTGTGTCTCTTTCTCTGTGTACGTGCGTGTGTGCGTGTATGTGTGTGTGTTTGTCAGCAGAACAACGTCTCGATTTCGTTCGAGCGAGTGAAAAATTGCGTTGTCGCACAGAGAGCATCGCGATGGACGAGGGCGATATGATCTTTCACGATCATCCGTCCGCGATTCGGCGTTTTCATAAACTTCATTTTTTTTTTTACCAAATACGACAAGGCTGCTGACATTAGGCTTGCTAGCACTTGTAAATAATGCCCAGCGATTGTGCTATTTTGTTAAGTTCTCTTTAACTATTATTTCATGAATAATTTATCACATTTTTTAGTTTTTCATCTTCTTCATCTTTTTTTTTTCCTTTAAATCGTCCTCACAGATTGCGAAAAGAGGGGGCGCGTGTGACATCGTCGCCGCGCCAAGTTGGCTCAATCTATGAACACTTCTGTAAAAAATATAATATCTATGGATGGTTGAGCCCCCGGCCAGCATACAGCGAATTAGTTTACTCCTTTGAAGGTAATGCGGGATCACTTCTGCAGTTATGAGCAATGGCTACTAACATATTACATATCTAACGCACTCGATCTGCATAGAACAACTGTCGCCCTTCCTCCGCGCTCATTCAACTCTCTCTTTCACTACGTTAGAAAGGAACATTTCACTGGGACGCCCCGACACGACGAGGCACCCGCGTTTTAACAACGTTAAAAAAATCCAACCTATTTAAGCGCGGGGAACCCGACATCGACGACGACGACGATCGGGGTTGCCGCGCGCGCGTTTGATTGTACAAATATCTTATTTATCGTTGCAGAAGTGATTTTCGCCCTAGTCTTCGTTCATCGGTTTATATCCGTTATATATGATATGTGACAGGCTCCCCCTCCCCGAGAAAAACAAACGCAGTCAATTGAAATCAAATTCGAGAAATTGACGACAATTTTGAATTTTGACACGCTCGTGTTTTTTTATATCCTTATATTACCATCAAATATAAGTTTAACGACTCAACCCAAGAGTTCATCACCTAATAATTACGTGTAAACGAAAAACAACAGATACAATGCACAAGCACATTGTAAATAAAAAAGAAAGGAAACCGAGAAATGAGACTTAACGTAAAAACATGACTCACATCGAGATATAATAGCCTCAACAGTTTCACCAGGGGAAAAACACAAACGAAACATACGTATAATAGTAAAACTAGTAACTACTTCACTACCTCTAAGACAGCGAGAAAATCCTAAGACATGCGATATCGCACGACGAAGTATCGTTTTTGCTTTTCTTTTTTTTTCTTTTTTCTTTTTAATCTCTCTTAGTTAATTTTTCCTTCGGAAGTTGCGCCGAGTGCGTGCAGTTTCTAGAGAATGTCTTCGTCTTATCTTACTTCTTTTTTTTTTTCGTTTTTCATTTACTGAATCTCGAGTTTTCTAACTTCTGCGGTTTCCCTGTATCCCTTTTTTCCCCCCTTCTGAATGTCTTGTGATTTTTACGCTTCTGTTAACAATTAATTCAATATCGTCTCTCCCGCTATGTTTACCGATCTCCTGCCCCCTCCCCCCCCCCTCTTTCCCGTTCTCCTTTCTTTTTCCTATATAGCTGGAGAATATTTCAAAATAAAGCAGAAAAATGTTCTGCTTTCAACTTTTACGTGTAATTCACAATTTTCGATCTTGGAGCCGTGATCCGTCAACTCGATCCCAACGTGTTTTAATATAATTACGCTATGCGACACATAATTTCCGTTTTTGTTTAAGCTCGTGTGTGCCCGTTCACGACGTCCCGTTACCGCGTCCTTCGTCTCGAAAGAGAAACCGTTCTCGCGCTCGACGGATCGCCCGAACTCCACAGACCAAAATTGATCTTTCAGACAACAGTTAAAGATTAAAATCATTATTAACTATAATTATCAATTACACGACCATTAGTATGTCTTATACAGTAATAAATTACCATCGTGCTATTCTTACTCCACCGTCGACACCGTTGTCTTTTTATTCCTTTTAATTACTAAGATGTTACGAGTTATTTAGCTTAACTTAGTAACGAGTATTAGTGGCATCTGCTTTTTTTTTTGTCGAGAAGAAGTCAGAAGTAAACTTTTTTTCTTTTTTGCCTTTTACCTTAATCGTTAATGCTGTATGAAACTGGGCTCTCGCGTCGTCCCAAAGCCATCTTAGTGATGCCGTTTTTTCTTGAAACCTGCGACCAAATCGACAAATTTCTCAATCAATCAATCAGCGGCTAGACAGAGAAACGATCGGAAGAGTTGACGAAAGATCACTCACTCTTTTTAGCTTTGCCCTTTTTCTGAGCTTTTCTCTTTTTAGCAGACTTGGCAGATGACTCCCCGAAAGTGGTGATCTCGTCGCCGAGAGTACCCAGAGTCGTCATCTGACGACGCCTGTGCTTCTCCTGCTTAGTCACCGGCAGACGCGTCATGTAGTTCTCCTCATACTCGATTTTCCGCTTGTACTCGCGTCCGAGAATCGCTTGTTTCTCGCTCAAGCCTTGGCTGTCCTCCACCGGCGCGTCCAGATATTCTTCCTTCAATTCTCGCAACACCGTGTTGGACACAGCGCGTCTGCGAGCTCTCTCGCTGGCTTTGCGAATTTTCTCCGCCATTGTCTCATCGCCGTCTAGAATTGTAGTGTACGTTTTAGATTAATGAGCAAACAAATCAGAGGGGAACTGAATAAAAGAAAACAAACGAATGAGATTCAACAATATAAGTGAACAACGTCGAAAGCTCTTGCATGTGCAATGACGAGCGCAATTCAATCACTGTGCGCGTGAAAGTCGCTGTTAATTAACACACAGTCGAAGATTTCGACCTAAAGCCTTATCGGAGAGTCTAAAACTGACCGTAGTGTACTGCAGCGAGTTTCGGCGGCACATAAACATTGGACTTCCTGGGCTGTGTTGACTTGAAGCCCTCCGTCTCCTCCTCCTGTTCACTGTCGGACTCTTCGTTGTAGCTGTCCAGCTTGGCGACCAGGGCTTCAGGATTTGCTTTGAAGTTGCTGGGATCGTCACTGTTAATGGTACCGGTTACAGCAGTCTTAACGAGCTTATCTATTTGGTACTTAAGCTTGTGATCTATTGGTCGGATTTTCTCCAGGACGGTCCTGATCTCGATCAGGCGATCGATCGAAGGATCATCCTCGATGCGCTCCCCAGAACATTTTCTCAGCACCACATAAGTCAGGTTAATGAGATAGGAGAGTAACATATGGTACTTCATCTCCAAGAAACTGAGACCCTTGTCCGTGGAGATCTCGCCATTCTTCACGCGAACCAGCATGTTGTCCACCAGCTGGTTCACCTGCAGAACATTGGCGTTCATCTCTCCTAGCAGGCGGAACGCCTGCGGGAGATCCCTCTGCTCCATCTCGTCGATAGCCTGCGAACACGCGATCACATCGTGAGAAAATTTCGGCCTCGTTCCACGGTTTTGGTACGCGGCGAGATAAAAGGTGGAGAAAAAAAAAAAAAGAAAGGCAGGTCGGCTGCTCACAAGCGGTGCCATGAATTTTTCCCCCCGTGATCGTGAGGCGGATACGAAGCGTCCACGGGGCCAGTCACTGTTTATTTACGTCGAATTCGAGGTTCGTGTTTACACGGGGTACGCGGCAACGAGCCCGGGGATACTTTTCGGGGAACGTTCACGCGGTCTCGCCGCAAAGTCCGCACGGTCCTCGCGTCGGCCAGGTAAAAAAAGCGCGAGCCGAGGCGCGTTCGCCCCGGTAACGGCGGTGTTTCATTCAAGAAACGGAAAACGCGGTAAATTTCGTCCGTAGAAACGCGCTCGACTGGCCTTTTCCGTGGGATTTTCACGGTGGAAGTCGCGCCGGGCCGGAACCGTCGGAAAAATGTCCGCCTGGCGAAAGTACGGGAAAAAAGCGCAATAATCTGCTGCCATCTTTCCTATTTACTAATGGATGACAGCGGAAAAAAAAACAATCAAAAATTCCCAATAGACCTGGCAGAAAAATGCGCTGGTTTCGGCCGGCCGGGCGGAATAACGGCGTGATAACACGCGGACAGCTTACCACTCACCTGCACCATGGTTCCGAAAGAAAAATTAACCCAACAGACGCATATCCAAACAACGTAACTTGTAATTAAACGAGTCCCCACGTGGGACGATATTTTCCTTTTCGGGGGTATATTTTTTCGCTTGGAAAAGTCTGGTCAGCCGAGCGACTGTCGCACGATGTCACTGAAACCCGGCCGCCGTCCCCGTGCCATTCGCGATCGGTCGGCACGGCTATTCCGCGATTTTTCCGAGCCCACGGGATGTTTCACGGGGCGGCGGACGTGCGGAAAAATCGCGTTTTGCTACTCAACGAGACGCGACTTCCGCTCCCATGGTCGGCCGAAAACGCGGCGCCATCTTCGAAACGCGTTCGACTGGGTCGCGATTATCGTTCGTTAATCTCGTTCATCGCGATCGTTTCGCTCTCGTAAGGGATGGGAGACGGCCCGAGGCGTCCCGGAGATTTCTCCGGGATGTGCGTCGCCCGAAGCAGAGCTCGAGTCTGGCCGGTTTCTCCCTTGCGCCTTCCTCGTCGGGGACTTTCGCGTCGCCAACGGCAGGGCCGCGCCGAGCCTAGGGGATTTCGCACGGCCGCAGTTGGCGCGCCGGCGGCCGTCTTCCGTGATTCAGTTCAGCGCGAAGTCAACTTCATTTTTGACGTGATAGCGGTGGGTGAATGAAGTGGTGGCAATCGAAGAAGACGAGGCTGCGAGAGACGGCGTGGCGCGCCTTTACCGAGAATAATACCGCGTAGAATGGTAGGTGGTCCGGCGGCATCCATCCGAGTCCTCGCGACGAAGGAAACGACGACAGTCCGAGTGACACGCCGATCGCGCCTCGCGTTTCGCCAAGTGTTTCTCGTCGAGCGGAAACCGCCGAGCGCGGCGACGACGACGACATCGCTGTCACAACGAGATTGACAGCGCGACATTTGTCTTGTGCAGTCGAGAACGCTCGACCAAGCTACGCAGTCCCGTCCGTTCCTGAGCTCGTCCCGCTTGACGTTTCCGCCTCGGAGGCGCTCCCGAACGCACCTACGCGCGAGCATCCGCGCGCTACTCCATCGTGTTGCTCGGTGTTTACGCCGCGTGTTCGCCGGATGGTCTGACGTGAATCGCCCGTAAAAAATTGAGATAAGATACGGCACCGATGTTGTGTTTTCATCTAAGCGCCTCCCCACGTTGCACAAGCACATTCATAAACGGAAGGAGATTGGTTCTCCCGTTTTGTATCGCGTCGCGTTCAGCCCCAGCCGTGTCACCTCCGAGTGTATTAATCGAGTGAACTTTCTGATGCAGGGAAGATTACAGAGGAATGGTGCTGTACTAGTGGTAATATCCCTTTTGATAGGAACCAATGGCTTCTACGTGCCCGGAGTTGCTCCGGTGGAGTTTAAGAAGGGCCAGAAGATCGACGTCAAGGCTGTCAAAATGACTAGCATACACACGCAACTACCGTATGAATATTACTCCATTCCATTTTGCTTGCCCAAAAATGGAACCTTCATCTACAAGTCTGAGAATCTAGGTGAAGTACTCCGTGGAGACAGGTGAGAACGGCTTGACAATCCACTTCGGCTTTCGGGAAAAATTTTCACAGGGTTGTCACAGATCCGAAGAGCCAGAGGAGAAACTGAAGAATGTCCATAGAGATTTAAATTGGTCGGGAGAAACTTGAAAATGTCAACAGAGAAAGATATGAAAGAACCTGAAAATCTTGAGTTCCCTCAAATGCTCTTTATTTTCTTCATTCTAGAGAGAACTTATTAATTCTTTAAATACTATATCCAACATTCACAGTCAAATGCATTGTTTAAAACTTGAGTACTTTATAAGTCACTTCTTATGTGTTAGACACATGACATAAGCAGTAAGAAAAATGACCAATCACAATTATGATTATTCCTTGACCATAAGGAGAATAATCAGATGTGATGGGTCAATTTTATTCGGCGTTTTTATTCAATTCTCCTTTCCTTTTATAGTTGCGTTCTTTTTTCCAACACTCATTTAAATTTTATCGGCCTGAATTTTTATTCAAGATTACATTATGTTACTAAACTTCTGAATTTGTGTTGTGTATACTTCTGATAATATAAGATACTTTTTCTGCAATTCCTGCTAAACGTTAAAATTTAAGATTATAGATCGATTTTGGAAAATTCTCCACTATCGTGTCCGGAAAGCATGGAAAGGTCGGGGATCTCAAAATTCACTTTCTGTGGCGGCCCTGTTTTAAGAAGATTTCTGTTACATCAACATCTCGATAACTGTAATTGCAATTTTAACGATCTGTAACTCGATGTTTCCAGGATAGTAAACACTCCGTATGAAGTCATGATGGTAGAAAATATTACCTGCAGGCTCTTGTGCCATGGACCGTCCAACTTGATGAATTGGAGCGAATACAATTCTCAACAAGTTATCAATATGATCGAGCATGAATATTTTGTGCATTTGTTAGGACATTTTTATTGTTATTACATCGTTGAAAAGGGGGATCCCCTCATGCGTTGTTGCTGTTCATCCTGAGTGTTTTATTTCAGATTAATAGATAATCTACCAGCAGCTACTAAAAAGAAGGTCCAAAACAAAGACACGAATAAAGTGGTTGTTTATCAAGGATACCGCTTGGGCGGAAAGATGAACCACCAGGCGTACATCAATAATTATCTCAATCTCAAATTAAGCTATCACAAACACAGCGAGTCAGTATCCCGTTGCGTTTATACGTCTTGCTTGCTTTCCAGCAAAAGACACAAATCGACACACAAATCTGATTATGCCATCCTTTTCTTTCTTCAAATGCGAAAATAAGGACAAATGATGTATAATTAGACTAGTATTTCTCTCTCTCTCTCTCTCTTTTGCTGGAAAACAATCATTGTACTTCCATCGCGAGTGTATCGGACGCATCGAAGTTATCGTTTCGCTTTCACTGATTCAGGAACGAGTTTAGAGTAGTTGGATTTGAGGTGGAGGCGCATTCCGTCGACACGTCTCAATTGCAGTTCGAAGGGAACACCTGCATCCGGCCGGACTTCAACAAAGTGAGCCCGCAATTCGTCAGTACCACGGGCACGAAACTTTTGTTCTTGTACTCGGTGGAATGGAGCCAGTCGGACGTAAGCTGGGCGAGCAGGTGGGACATGTATTTGGGCATGAGTGACGTCGAGATACACTGGTTCTCGATCATCAATTCCCTCATCGTTGTCTTCTTCTTGTCCGGTAAGTGGCGTGACGATATGAGTCGCCACATTAATTATTATAATTATGTTTAATCATAACGATAATAAATAATTATTATTATCAAACAATTATATACCTTGTAATTAAATATTATTTATTATTATTATTAATATATTATTATTCTATATTATATATTATAATATTATGTATTATTATTATTAATTATTAATATATATTAATAATGTTATGACAATGATTATTATTTCTGGCAGGAATTCTCACGATGATCATGGTGAGGACGCTCAGGAGAGACATAGCCCGCTACAACGCCGGGGAGAGCGATAGTCTGGCGGGCTTGGACGAAACGATCGAGGAGACCGGCTGGAAATTAGTGCACGGAGACGTGTTCCGGCCGCCGATCAACTCACGTTTATTCGCCGCTGTGATCGGCAGCGGCATTCAAATCTTTTTCATGGCTCTCATTACGATATGTAGGATCATATTGAGTTTCGGCATCGATCAATTCCGTGAAATAATTCCGTCCCGTTGCCACAAAACATATTTCCACGTGCGTTTCTTCGTTCTCTTTGCAGTCTTCGCGATGCTGGGGATGCTGTCACCGGCGAGCCGAGGAGCCCTGGGTACCTGCGCGATATTTTTGTATGTGTTTTCCGGCTTGGTCGCTGGCTATTTCTCCGCACGACTCTACAAGACGATGCGAGGTCGCGAGTGGAGAAGAGCTGCTTTACTGGTAAGATTATGATGTGGAAATTTTCTGATTGATTTCTCCGTGGGAATCTCTTCAACTCATCATTAACAAGAGATGTGCATGAGAAAGTTTCTATAGTAGAGATCGCTAATAACTGTCGATGATTGCAGACGGCGACGCTTTACCCCGGCATCGTCTTCATGACGTGCTTCTTCTTGAATTTCTTCATATGGGGTAAGCAAAGCTCCGGCGCGGTCCCCTTCCGGACGATGGTGGTTCTGCTGTGCCTCTGGTTCGGCATCTCGCTTCCTCTCGTCTATCTCGGCTACTTCTTCGGTTATCGCAAGCAGCCCTTCACCCACCCAGTCAGAACAAATCAGATCCCGAGGCAGGTCCCCGACCAGCTGTGGTACATGAATCCGATACTGTGGTAAGCTCCAAAACAAGAACAACTGTTTTAATTTACTATTTAGTCTCAGTTGCTTTCCAGGGAGAGATACAGGTAATATAAAGTGACATAATGTTTCGACACAATGCTTTTCTACAACGACACAACATTATACAAGTATACTGTAGCTGAAAAGTTAAGTATACTCGCGCTCCATCATGTCACTTGAGGTCGCTTACTGTGTCTCTTGCTGAAGAGCAAAAGCTCCTCAGTGTCGACTACCAATGGAACGAAACGCTTGTTCTGCAGCACGCTAATGGCCGGAATCTTGCCGTTCGGCGCGGTGTTCATCGAACTCTTCTTCATCCTGACCGCGCTGTGGGAGAATCAGTTCTACTACCTCTTCGGATTTCTCTTTCTCGTTTTCTGCATCCTCGTGATCTCGTGCTCGCAGATATCGGTGGTCATGGTCTACTTCCAGTTATGCGGCGAAGTGAGTATCTCAGAAAGAAAGATCCGTCTCGATTTCGAGCCAGTAGGCTGGTAGGCTCTGCCCTTTTCATTTGTCTCTCTCGTCTGTAAATCTTGAGCCGCGCTTGGATCTCATGTAAAATCATTTCGTTCGCAGGACTACAGGTGGTGGTGGCGCAGTTTCATAGTGAGCGGAGGTTCGGCGGTCTACGTGCTAGCTTATTCCATTTTTTACTTCGTGACGAAACTGGAGATCACCGAGCTAGTACCGACTCTCATGTACTTTGGCTACACTGCGCTGATGGTCCTCACGTTTTGGCTACTCACCGGCACCATCGGCTTCTTCGCCGCGTACGCGTTTATCAGGAAGATATATGCAGCCGTCAAGATAGACTAGTCAAAATCTATCGATAATAGTCGCAGTGACATTCGCGGGAGTAATTTTAATTTAATCGAGAGAACGGAAGAGAGAGAAAGAGAAATGGAGCGAGGGGGGAGGGAAGGAGGGAGAGAAAGAGGGAGAGAGAGAGAGAGAGAGAGAGAGAGAGAGAGAGAGAGAGAAATGGAGCGGAAGAGAGAGAGAAAAAGAGAAAGGAAGGTCCTTTAGTTTCTGTTTTAGCTGTAGGAATTATAAAATGAAAGTGCAGATGCATCTCCATCTTCCACGGGATTTCGAACAATGAACATTTATACATTCTGTGACTGATGGTGTACGAATATATTCGATATGTCAGTATAATGTTTCTACATGTTCATCCGCCATTTTGACGAGCATAATGAATCTGTTTTATTTAATTTTAGTCGCGGTTTTTCCCTGTAAAGTACTTATGATTCGCAAAACGCGCAAAGAGAAAGAGAGTGAGAGAAGAAGAGAGGAGAGAACAAAGAAAGAAAATCTAAGACAAATTTAACGTTAACAATGGGACGTTGGCTATATCAATATCGTTCCTCGTCAACGAGGGGAACTCTGTAAAAATGTGCAAGTATGTGATATTAGTGATGGTCAATAATATGCAGAAGTATTATGCGGCGGTGTCTCGCGGGCGAGATGTGTACCCGCGAACGACGTAACGACGATGTCGAATGGAAACCGTGTCACCGTGTCCGTATAACCGTTGACACGCGCACACTTTGCATTCATTGTGAATACACGGGTATTCGAGGAGCCGAGATTCGTCGTTCGCGCGAACACGCACTCTTGCAGCCGATGCCACGCTCTATAGCCGATAACGAGCCAGTTTTAAAGTTATCGTTCGTCTCCTTAGCATAAGGATACAAGCGGTTTTGCAACGGTCCCCAAGCCAGATCATTGTTACGACGAGAGTGCGGTATATAATATAAGAATAATAATATAAAACATTTGTGTATTTAATTACGTTCACACGAGTCTAATTACACTTCATTCCTCGGCGATACATATCTGAGCCACTTCGCGCGCGGCGTGTCCCGTATGAGTCTTCGATGTAGCGTGTGACGGCAGTTTCCCTTGTTTCTTTTTATATACATTGTGTAAAATCTCACTCACATACACACACACGCATACACATATGTCGTCTTGTATGACACTTTTACACGACGAGAATTTTCTTTCTTCTTAGTAAGTAAATGTTTTGCGTTTTTCTCCGCAAGCAGTAGTGTTCTATGTACATCGAGAGACTAATGTTAAATATACGATATATATCACAAAGTAAGTATTTTATACTATCACTAATGTAAATAATGTGTAATTGATATTACGATAAAAGTGTATACAAATGTCTTATAAATATTCCAAGAATTATATACCTCCATTAATCATGATTGTATATAGAGTTATTGCATGTACTCGCTCGCGTTTTTAACGCCGAGGCTCGATCAGCGGTGTGAGCCGAACTACTCAAATCTACTCGGTCTAAGTTTTATAATCAAATATATCATTGTGCATGTGAGACTAATATAAATGATGATCACGGTAGACTCCACAGGCATGTAACACTTTGATACGGCATAATTTCTAGGCGTGAAGGTACCCTGAAATTAAGAAACATCGTTTATAGATAAAATCCTATGAAAATTATATATATATAACACTATAAAAGGCTATATAATTATAATATAAAGAATTTCAAACTCGAAACCATAATTGTCTTTGTTTTCTAAAATTTCCGAATAAATGAAATTATTGGCAACTTGATTTGTGGACATTAGATATTGAAAAAAAAGAATTTAACGCTGTATGTTACTAAAAGCATTTTATTCGTAATGAAATTTTTATCCCAGGGAATTGACTAATTAACGTTAAAGGCAAAGTAAAAAATTACCATCAAGAGAGACGGGTTAACTTTGTTGCGCCAGCTGAAAGACGAAATTGTGAATTCCAGGATGTCGTCCCGATGTATCCTTCTGCAGCCATGATGAGTATGGCCGGCGACAATCAGTCGCGGATTCAGGATGTCCAGGAGCTATAAGGAGTGAATTTCGTACATTAATTCGTGTGTTAATTTACGTTCGTGTAAGACATGCATATGATCAAATGTACCTGTTCCGACGCCTCTTTCGACAAACATTCCCATCGCTCGCGGAACTTGATGCCCTTTATGTCATCAGGTGCTTGATCCAATTCGTTACAGATCTTGTCGGATTCTCGATACATAGGGTAATGCTGGGATAATGAAGAACGATATGTTTTTAATTACGATTACTCGTCCAATCGCGTTATTTTGTGTGAATTGTCATTATGCAAATATCAGGATTGAGTAAATTAATTTTTTTAACCAAGCTAAATTAAAAGTTGGTCGCTATAAATTAACCGAGTTTACGTTAAAAGTTACATAAATAAAATGCAACCTCAATTAAGAGTCCGATTACAATGAAAGTTTAGTTTTATTAAAGTTAAAAGTTAGGTTAAAAGTAAAATTGAAAATTAATTGGGCAAAGCTATATATGAAATATTTTAACTAAAAGAAGTAAAAAAAGTTAATGTATAAAAAGTTTGTCAAAAGTTAACTCATTTACTAAGTTAAAAGTTGTTAACTTTCAACTTAACTTTTAATTGTTATTAATTCAATCCTAGTAAATATATCGTAGGTATATTTTTAACAAATTAGAGGCAGAGGGACTGACTTGCAACAGAATAGGCCTGCTGTATCTGGAAATTGCACTTGTATTATTGCAATCGCTTCCCATCTTCCTCGCGCATTTCAGGTCTTCTGCAACGTGATGCGCATGGATAGTTTAGTGACTAATCGATCACGTCGACCTCGATACGTTACTATGAGAACACATAGATGATAGCTCACTGGCTATTTTGTTCACTGCGATTTCGGCCGGTCGGCATAGGAAACAACCATCCCCTTCCAACGCCATACTGTTAATCAACGTGAAGTGATTATCTCTTATACTCACTCGTCGCACACTCGGACTCTTCATGCTGTTAATAAAGCGCTGATTACGATATGGTGTGATCGCTGAAAATATGTTCATAGTATTACAAGTGACGATCTATCCGTTCGATTTAATAAAATCGATCTGCAAATCTGTCTCGAAGCAAGAACAAATTTATTGTACCATAGTGAAATCCTACATCGTGATTGCCAGCTACAACGTAGAGATATGTGTTTTTGGGCACATAAAACAAAGAGTGGAATCTCCGTATGTAACTCTCAAATTCTACGGAGCTGCACCATTGCCCCTCATCAAAGACGTCACCTGTGTCAAAAGTGTTATTATGAGATACTAATGAGATCCTCATGGAATACTCTGAAATTAATATTGTAAATGTTATATACCTAATATAAAAACTACATCCGGCCTGTGTATTGTCATCATTGTTTGGAAAGCCCTGTACATTTGCCACTCCCTAAGCACAAAATCATTCTTTCTTGAGAAAAAATAGATTTCCTAAACTGAGATTGCACCACTGATATGTTGTATATTGGTGTATCACACTGAGAATATATACTGAGACACAAACCTCCGCAATTTATCAAACCAGTGACCATTTCTGGAGCCTAACAAGTGGATGTCTGCGATAAACATGGCTCTTACAGGCTTGTCGGTAGCTTCTGTTTGTGATACAGTCAAATCTTCTTTTCGTGAATCTAAAGTAGGCCATCCGCACTGCAAACCCAGAATCATTATTTTTTTTACGATTGTAAGACATAGATTGTTCGAACGACTTGAGTTTGAAAAATAAGCGTGTTAGAAAAATAACAGAATACTCTAAAAGCTTACCTGTGCAAGTACTATATAATATAATAAATATTCACAAAAAAGCAGTGTAAATATTAATCCTAAAGCTGCACTGAGCAATGTTCTTCGAAATTTTTTCCTGAGATAAATCATCCTTGAAACTTGGATCGAGTTTTGGGATCCGAACGTTAATTAGAATTTTCACAATTTTTACATCAATCACACAAAGTGCACATTGTGCAACATGCGACGATGTGAATTGTCACTGCGTTAAAGCTAATGAAATTATTTAGCACCGCACTGTTTGTTCCGTGCAATGTAAACAATGCAAATCACAGTGAATTCTAACTTTTTTATCTAATCTAACTTAACCTAACATAATCCAATAGTTGCCGGCACCATCTGGCGGTGCGTAAAAAATGGCTCCACATGGACAGGTCAGAGAAATCTTTATTTTTGAAAGACTATTCAACGGTCGGTTAGATCACAAAATTTGTTAAAAAACGTACCATCTATGGATTTCACAATCATAAAATATTTATATTCACAATAATTTGATAAATTGTCAAAATATACATATTTCCGCAGGACAGATATGAACATGCTCGGCAGAATATTCCGTACACACGCACTTATAACTACGATACAATGCAGAAGTCCAGTCTTCCTTGTAAATACAAATCGAAATAATTATCATAATAATCTTAACAACGCATCTTAAAGGTGGGATTCCAATACTATATAGAAAACAACGATGGATGCGATAAGTGTAAAGTCAAAATGTTTCTTTGCGTGCTATAAAATACGATATAGAGTTATATAAAATAAATTACGGCATAACAGGTAGGAACGTGCGACACACAGTAAGTCTGAAATCACTCTATAAGCAACTCGTGTCGTTGATAATCTCAGCCATCATGTCCTTGTCTTGCAAAGCAGAGTCCAACTCTGACTGGTCCCACTGCAAGCTCACCTTGAACAGACGCGACTGGTTCTTGCCGACGATTCTCAGAGTGCCCCTCGTCTCTATCAGCAAACACATGCTCAAGAACTCGGAGAAATCGGCGGCAGATATGTTCCGTTTCTTGCAGACTTTCTTGTACACCTCGTGCAGCTGAAACGAGGTCGATTTGAGGAAATTCCAATGACGATCGATAGCGCGACTTTCGCGCAAATTTACCATTCCAACAGTGACGTCTTTATTTCTTCCCTTATTCAGGATGAGTAACAAGGAGCAGAGTAGCAGCTTCTGCTGAATAGGAAACGTATCTTTGTTACAATTCTGCGTACTCCCGTAGACTCCGTTTAAAACTGTGACCACCTCTTTCAGGTCGACCGGCCTTTCCGTCACTTCCGTTTGCTTCTTCGAATCTTCCGTATTTGTGTCTGAATTACGAAAGAAAACGAAGGAAATATTAGATTATTAATGTATGTCACGTTACACCTTCCCTTTATTACATCGTTAACTTTCTATAAAATATGCCTTCTTACTGTTGTCGTTCGTCGGACGCAGCACTTCCGCCACTTTTCCCGACTCGGCCAACTCGATCACCCTTCTGCTGATGTCCAAGGCTCGCCTGATGTCCCCGGAGACCGCGGCTACCTTGCCCGCCAGCAATTGTATCGCCGTCGATGGGAGAACGTTGATGGCGTTCGCTCGGCTCAATCTCATCGATATTATGTCGACTATTTGCTGTTTGGTGTACGACGCGAAGTGCATCAACGTCGGCTTTAATTCGCACCTGGCCTGTAACCTGGGCAGTATCCTGTCCGTCAGGTCCAACGCGTTGGCAACACCGATCAAGATCAGCTTGGAATTCATCAGAGATGGCCACTCGAATATCGAGTACAGCACGGCCTGCTTCCTGCTTTCCAGCTGATCAATCTCGTCCAACACCAGAAGCAACATCTTGTGCTTGGACTTCAAATACTTCTCTATATTGGCCTTCTTATTCTTCCCCGACTTGCTTATAGACAGCTCTTGAATTATCTTCTCGTATATGGCAGGCGCGGACTTCATGGTGGTGCAATTAACATAGACACTCTTGAACTGAGACTTAAACTCAGGCTGTTGCATTATCTTAGACAGACTAGCCGTTTTCCCAGTACCTGGAGGACCGGAGATATACAGGGAACCCGATGTTTCTTCCTCCAAGTGTTTCCGAAGGAATTCCTGCAGTTTATCCAACTCCTTCTCCCTCCCAGGCAAGTCCTCTGTCTCGGAACTATGCAAGGCCAGGCGTGCGTCCTGGTATTGGTTGGATTCGAATAATCGCCTAGGCAGCAAATTATTCTCGTTATCAGGAGAAAAATTCAATTTATTCACGAGAGTGGATGGTGTTGATGAAGTCTGTAATGATTGGCCCTTTTTCTGCTTAGATGGGCTACACAAACTGACAGGTTCTTCTGCAAAATGAGAAAAGATAATTTGCAACGATAAAGCAAAATTATTATCTAATAATCACACAAGGTACGGACATAAAAAAAAAATATTGCAAATAAAATGATACTTTTAAAGTTTACCATTGGAGCTACGATAACGCTTTTGATGAGTTGGCGTTTCAGGCTGCAAATTCTCTTCCTTTTTAGGAGATAAATTCAATCTATTCAAAAGAGTGGATGGTGTTAATGAAGCCTGTAATAACTGATTCTTTCTCTGCTTAGACGGACTAGTGATATTTTCTTCTGCAAAATGAGAAGAGATCATTTGTAATAGAGAGAGCAAAATTATTATATAATAATCACAAGGTATGAACATAAAAGAAGATTGCAAATCAAGTAATACTTTTGAAATCAAGTAAATCAAGTGATAGTTGTTTTAGCATTGTACATAATTACTCATAAAAGTATATGAATAAATATATTACAAGATTATAGATAACTGATTATGACAGAGGAGATTATAATTAATTACCATTAGGGCCATTATTATGCTTTCGATGAGTTGGCGTTCCAAACTGCATATTCTCTCCCTTTTTAGGAGATACATTCAATCTATTCAAAAGAGTGGATGGTGTTGATAAAGCCTGTAATAATTGATTCTTTCTCTGCTTAGACGGACTAGTGACATTTTCTTCTGCAAAATGAGAAAAGATAATTTGTAATAATAAGTAAAATTATTATCTAATTATCACAAGGTACACATACATGAGTAAAAGATACTACAAATAAACTAATACTCTTGAAGTAAAGCAAATAAAGTAATACTTGTGTTAGCATTGTATATAATTATTCATAACGACATATAGATAACTAATCATGATACAAAAGATTATAATTAATTGTGGGAATTACCATCAAAGCTGTTATTACGCTTTCGGTGAGGTGAAGTTTGAGCCACTTTGCTCTCAATTCCTCTGGTGACCCCTTCTACTGTGTTTTCAATGTCAGAGTCCGACTCAGACTCGCTGCTGATCAACGTGACGATCTTCTTCACGGTTGGAGTGTACCTTGTTGGTGTGCCTTTCGCCGTTGCCTCTGAGAAATCCTCTTTCACAACGTCCTTCTTGTGCCCATAGAAATTCCATTTCTTTCGTATAGGAAAAGAAATGGTGCTTTGCACGCTCATCGTAATTGAGCAATAAAAAGTAATATTAAAAGTACACCGGTCGCTGCTTCGGTCTGCAAAGAGACAGTGCACAAAATGACCCTGGCTTCAATACCGAATTCTTCCTCAGAGATAAAAATATATAAAAAAAATGGATAAAAGGGCGCCGCCTTTCCCTCCTGCCGTTCCCGCTCTAACCTGTGACGTCTTCGTGATTTTCAAACCAATTTCTCCGGCTCGTCGGCACACGTCCCGATGTCTCATACACTCGGAATGTTTCGTCGAACGTTCGCGATCGTAAAATTCTGCCACCGTACGTGGATTCCTAAGAATTGCGCAAAATTTCAGAGTAGAACACGTCACTCGGCCCGCGACGAACGCTCGCATATGATCGTCTGTGTACGAGCAGTTGGCGGGAAGGCCTTTAAACGCGGGAAGGACTTTAAACGCGGGAAACCCGCGAAACGCGGAACCGAACCACGTAATTCGTCCTCGGGACGCAGACTCGGAGTAACGGACGGAAGTTCACAAATGCCCGCGCAATTGGGGCGCATTTCCACCGAACCGGCAATTCGTAGCAGTGTGTAATTTATTCGTTTCTTCGTGTAATTGGAAAAACTAAGTAATTAATTTCATGTTAACAAATTTTGTAGTCAATTCATAGGTTATAGAGAAAGAACGAGAGAATTCTCTTATGTCCGTTTCAAACAAATTGGAATATAGCGTGATTAATGTAATATACATTGAAAAAGAATGAAATATAAGATATAAATGCAGAAATTGTGTCACACAGCCATTCGTCTCATTCCGTGTGTGAAAATAATTCCTAATTTCAATTACTAATATTTAATATTTATTCTTATTCCTAATATATGTTTATTGCGTGCAGAGCTTAATTCAACGGAATTAACCAATCGCATTCATCAGTTCAGCCAATTGGCCAATGCGATTGGTCAATTAGGTTGATTTAAAAACGTCACGATTTAAATCATGATTAAAACCCGGCATCACTGGTTTTAACAGCAAATCGGTATTTTTATTTTCACGTTGGCAACTCTACCGGCCGTGTCGATTGGCTCAGCTCAGAATTTGAAGAAAGTCACTCTGATTGGTCAATTTTTCCGGCAAATACATCGTGCAAATGGTCCTCTATCGGGAACAGTACGAACTACCGACCTTTCCGGTGCTTCGCGCTGAAATCATTGTCTCTTCCATATTGTTTTCAGAAGCCGTCGGATGCGTACACCCTGAGATTCTGAAATCCGCATTAATCTAGCAGCACTAAAGCAATTTAGCGACTTTCGAGCACAGGATGAGAGCTAAGGTAATTATCTCGGGGAGATTTATATTTATTTCGTGTGTGGATTACACGATTTTTAAGATACAGCAATTTTGTATCTACACAATGTCACGATTTTGTGAATGAATTCAATCATTAAGTTTTATATCACGTTTATAGTTGTTTCGGCAGAGTTTGCAAGTCCTGAATTTTTTCTTTGTGTATTTTGTTTTTTTTTGTATAAATTGTACTTCATACTACAACTGACATAACCTCCTCGAAAGAATACAGACGCACGAGGAAATAACACGATAATGTGTTTGGTTTACAGTGGCGTAAGAAGAGGATGCGCAGGCTAAAACGTAAAAGGAGGAAGATGCGTGCGAGGTCCAAGTAAACGGCTTCCACTTGATCTCTGTGAGTGTAATTTCTATGATGCGGCAAGTGATTTATCCACGTGGCGATCCTTTGTTCTCACTATCCGCTGTGTTTACGAATGTTTCAGGCACGAGAAGAACAGTTCTATGAATTTTTTCATCGCTTGACGAATCACCGTTGAGGCTGCAAGAAAATCATTGCTCACGAGAAATTCCAAATGAATGTTTTTCCCACAGGGAACTATTTGTACATTTCATCTTGTACTTGACTAAATACAGATACTAAAATACGACAAACTTATTAAAATTTTGTAACCAATTTCTCCGGCTCGTCGGCACACGTCCCGATGTCTCATACACTCGGAATGTTTCGTCGAACGTTCGCGATCGTAAAATTCTGCCACCGTACGTGGATTCCTAAGAGTTGCGCAAAATTTCAGAGTAGAACACGTCAACCATCATTTCCTCTCTTTTAAATAACCTTAATTTTAGAAAATAGTTTGTATAGGACTTGGAAATTTAATTTTATCTAATTGATGTGCGAAAGTATCTTCAATATAAGACCGGCTTTAGTACGTCGCAAGAATCTAACTTGACCTAACCTAAGCTAGTTTCACGTCGATACGTTATTTTAGGTTTACTCGACATGCGTTCGTGTATTTTGAGAGGTCTGCTTCGCACGCGAAGCATTCTACACCAATCTTTCGCCAAGAACAAAGGGATCCTAACGTACTCGCAATTGAAGCAGTCGCGGCGATTTTCGAATAATTTAAGGAAAGAGCCGGGCGAGGAAGACCTGACCGACGAGCGAAAAGATGACGATCATAACCTCACAACTTCCATAAGTGCCAAGTACAAGATATTCCACGACGAGGAGGTGGACGTTATCCTCGATGTCACTGAGGAGCAAAGAAAAATCGATCTGGAGTTGTTGACTGCTCAGGAACAGTTTCACGATCCCTACGCAGGCATAAATCTCAAGCGTGAGCACAGATTTATATCATGTAACCAAACTAAGATATCCTGAGATTTTCTAAGAATTTGTCATATTATAAATTTATGAAAAATACCCGGAAAATATGAGAAATTTCTCAAATATTTTCAGAAATAATTGGACGAGAATTTTTAGAATATTTCATTATCTGTAGGTGTGAAAATTGCTGAGAAATTTCGTGAATTTTCTCATATTTATTCAGATTTGTACAATAATGCGTTGACAAAAAAAATCTGAAATATTTTATAATTATTGCAAGTATTTATGTGACAAATTCAGAAAAAATTGAATATTTTCCATCATTTCTAATGAATTTAAGGAAAATTTCATATGTATAAAGTATATAATGACTCCATATCATATATAAAAGCATTTATGCATATATAATGACTCCAATGTATAAATATAAATTATGAAAAATTTTCCTCTGACTAAAATTTCATTGGTGATAAAGAAAGGAAAATATCGATGAAAAAATGTAAAGTACTTGTATATTATGGGTTTTCTTTATAATATTTTTTAATTGCAATATTTTGGTTTTAAATTTTATCTTCTGCAGCAAAATTAATTTTATGTAGCATATCTATTTATATCCTAGTATAATTATTTGTTCTGTGACTATTTTGATGATGCACATATATTAATATTCATATAATAAACATTTAACTTCATCAATTTGTTGTTTAACACAAACATTACTAAATTACACTGGTCGACAAAATGGGACCTCTTTTCTGCTGAAACATTCTGAGATCTTAAAATTTTCGTAGAAATTCCGAAAAATAACATGAAAAATTACGGAGACATTTCTTTACCACAGGATTATGAACATTCACAACAGTTTTGTGAGAATAAAATTGTTTTCTAGGCGGTGTTACTGGCGTTTATGATATCGAGGACCTCGTCACGTTGTTGAAACTAAACAAGGCTAGGCAGATTTTTGTGGTGTCTGTGCCGAAAGAATACGTCTACGTGGACTATATTGTTGTTGTAAGCTGCATGTCCATCAAACACATGAAGGCTCTCGCCACGTTTGTGCGCAAAGTTTACAAGTTGAAACGACACGCTAATATTGATAAGATACCAAAAATCGAGGGGTCGGATTCGAACGACTGGATAGCTTTAGATTTAGGTACGGAGATTCTGCACAGACACTTACAGAACCGTTGATTAATACCGGCTAATCATTGTTTGACTCGTGGATTGCAGGAAACATCGCTTTGCACATCTTTTCTACATCAGCCAGAAAACAGTACGATTTGGAGACACTGTGGACAGTTGGCTCGCAATATGATGATAAGTCTAATGTTACCGAGGAAGTAGACATAATGGAACAATACAACACCTTCTTAGCTGAGCTTGAACCAGATGAAGATAAATAATGCAAGTGCGTGCGCTCGTGCCACATAGTTTAAGGATAAATCTGAGCTGACGATGCTCGATGAAAGAATATATATCAATAAACGAAATCTTATTAACAATATCGACTTTATTACAGTTGTGTAACGTCTACATTACCAAACATTAACTATTTCCAAATAATAATAGCGTGACAACTTATATGTATGCAGAGATAACTACCGTCGCACCTTCCACTAAGCAAGAAATCATTAACACAACGTTATTACAATGATATTTCATAACATGTAACATTTTCAAATATGTAGTTCTTAATGTTGTACACAACGTCATTGTTAACAATATTTGACCCAAACATTAAAAATAATATTTATGCAATGTGATTTTAATATTTCGGAATATCATATCATCGAGTAACGGTTTGAAAACATTTATAAAATATTATGCCAAAACGTAAAATCCACATAAAATCAATGTTTCAAAAGATTGATTCAATGGTTTTTGCTTACCGGACTGTCAATGTAGTTGCACTTTCCATGCACCTGCACTTTAGACAGGTGTGTTTCTCTCAGCTGTGTCATACCGGACTTGTTTTCACTGTAAAGAATAAACACATAATTAAATAGGCGAGAAGGGGATAAGATAGGAAAAAAGACTGTAAGTGGTGTTGTTGGAGAGAACACATCGTGTGTCGATTCGCTGATTCATATAACCTCAATTCCGCTTGCTTTTAGGTTAACGTGAATCATATTACATCGAAACTGATCGTCGTATTCTCCGACCATTATTTTACTTGTTTATTCTTCAAGAGGATAGAATTCGCTGTTCACGGCTGTAAGCCGTGTCACGTTCATTGTTTACATCTCTCTTAGGATTCCTGCAGGTTTCAACGTTTACAAGTAAGCATTTCAAGCTGATCCTTTAGCTGTTGTTCTACAAAATTAACAAAGGAAAAACATTTATAAATTTTTTTTTGTAAAGGACGTTGATATCTCACCTTGATAGTAGCTGACTTATAAGTACTGTGTAGCTTACAAGCCACTAGTTCGTTAAAGTTCTTCGAATATCAAGAGAGGGCTACCTGCTTCAGAAAAGGGAGAGAAAAAGAAGTCTGCAAGAATCATTGTGCAGTAACATACCAATTGTCTCAATATAACTCAGTATTCTGTATATACAGGTTGATAGTGTAGGAAAAGCTAGAATACTACACAGTGAAAGTTCGATAAAAGCTCACCAAACCGTCTCCGAGAAGAATCTCGCGAGGACCCAAGCATGGATGTCAGCGCATTGTTCAAGGCCAGCGTGAAGACGGTGAATTTACGCAACAAGGAGCTCGGTACTGTGACCAGTGCGAAGGATCCTCTGAGAAGGAGCAGAGTCAAGAGTTCCTTTTACGTCAAGGCGCACGACGTGGTCGTGCAGATTTCCAGGCTGCGGGAGTTCTTGTTGAAGAGTCGGAAGGTCTACCTGGACTTTCACAACCATCTGTGCACGGCGTCGCACATGACGGACGCGGAACGCGACGAGATCGACGCCGGGGCGCAAAACATCATGGGCATTTGTTCGCAGCTCGTCAAGGATCTCAAGAGGGAGGTGGCGGCGAGCGAGCAGGTCTCCCAGCAGAACATCGAGCACCGTGAGATCATGCTGTTGATGATCGAGGATTACCTGAAGGACGTCTGCAAGATATATTCGGAGCAGAAAGCGATGCGTGTGAAGAGGGCCATGGAGATGCGGAAGATCATCAGGCTACAGTCGGCAGACACCGTCGTCGAGCAGACGTCTACAACGGAGGTCAGAAAGTCGTCCCTGAACGTGACGCAGAAGTCCGCGGACGAGCATGTAGATGGCAAGAACGACTCGAGCGAGTCGAGCCCGATGAAGATCCAGGAGATCAACGGGGACGTTAATACGCTGACGTACGAGGAGGAGCCGTCACCCGAGGACATCCAGATGTTCCACTCGGAGAACGAGCAGCTGTACAGTGAGCTGAACACCTTGACGGAGGAGGTCAAGCAGATCGAGAGCAAAGTCGTCCACATCGCCGAACTGCAAGAGATCTTCACGGAGAAGATCCTTGACCAGGACAAGGATCTGGATAGGCTGATGACCACGGTGGTCGGGTCTACGGAGAACGTGAAAGAGGCCAACGAGCAGATCCGGCAGGCGATTCAACGGAACGCTGGGCTCAGAGTGTGGATCCTCTTCTTCCTGTTGGTGATGTCGTTCTCTTTGTTGTTTCTCGATTGGTACAACCCGTAAATCAAGTCCCCTAATTATAATAATCATGGAAATGAGGAAAATAGAATTGTGAGGGGGGGAGGGAGAGAGCATTTGCTAAAATATGATTGTATTTTTTCCCTCGGACATTGTACATAATAGATATATAACTTATAAGGTATATATATAATCTATATATATTTACTTATATACATACATTATCGCCTGTCCTGCCCCACTGTTTTACTTTTACATCAATAGGAAATCTACTTCCGTGGGCCAATGCGAGTCGAGAGATACATTGTCTTTCGTAAAAGTACTTTTCGCAGGCGGTATACCAACTTGTCAAGATCCTGATGCATATATATTTGACGAATTACTATTTGCCAATAAATAAATCCGTTCATTCTGTATTCACCTTCAATTTGAAAAATGCGAAATACGTGAGAATGTTTTCACGTTAAAAATAAATACTCAACGAAAAAGCGTGTGTCTTCGGTTGTAACATCAATGTTGAGATTCGTCAAATATATCTCTTATCTCTTCGATTCCACTCTTCCGAATGGCTCCTGCGCGCAGAACGCTGCAGCAAGAGTCTCGCGTTCTGTGCGCGGAAGTCGTAATGAACAACACGTTTTAAGATGTCGCGTACTTCGAAGCTGTGTGTCGGAAGGAAAAGAAGAGATATGTCACGAATCGATGCGATTACCAATCGAATCGATACCAATGTCCCAAACAACGCTATCGTCACTTATATATATATATATATATATATATGTATATGTATGAGAAGAAGGTATGGCTATTTTATATCATAAGGTAGAGAAGCTATTTAAAGTTACTGCACGTTTTACCTTTCTACCTTTTCTCTCAAAAATGACTTGAAACGTAAAAAATATGATATCTGACAACCTTAGATGGACATCTAAAAATTTTAAATGTCTATTATTATCGCTCAAATAATAACATAATATGTAATAAATATTATATATAATAATTAGCCATGCCTCTTCGTACATATATGTATATATAAGGTGTCCTAGTTCTCGCGACTTTTAATTTTACCGAGAGATTTTCTGAGCAATTTAGAATTAACTCTTCTTTAACGAAAATACCGAGGAAGGTCACTATTTATGACGATTTTTCAGTCTTCAATATATCTTTTTAACCAAAAGGTTTAAGTAAAAATTGTATTAAGTCAAAGTCCGTTTGAAATAAATCGGAGAAAATAATTTTCCTGTACANGAATCTAACTTTGCTGTTATGTATGAAAAGTTTACTAATTTTTTGAAGCACAGGAAAATTGTGGACAGGTATCCTCCACTTTATACAATAAAAGGTTTGACAGGAGCGGTGCAATCTTTAATAACAAAATTATGTGATGCAGCAGGTAAGTATTAAATGCCATTTTGCATCTTCTGCTTTAATAAAATGCAATAATTCGTTAAACTTATTTATCTAATTAATATATATATATATATATATATATATATATATTTCAAGGTCACAGCAAACGTCCCTCGTCTATCGTAGAAAACGGATTTTTTTTTGCGGCTTATGCGTCGTTTCATACAAAATCTTACAAAAGTCTAACAGCTACACGTCACTCTGTGTTATGCTTCTTTTGCAACTTTCTAACGATGA